TGTCACTTGATGCATGCCACGGGCGTCTGACTCGGCACGACGCGGACGAGTGGCCGGGTCCTCCGTGGCCGGCGATAAAGCGGCGGGGGCCGGGGATGGGAGGAGGACCCACTGTCCATAGCAAGTGCCCCGGGGCGGGCCCGTCGTGCTGTGGAGGCTCCACCGCCTCGTCGAGAAGGAGGTGTCACCATGCCGTGCTTTCTTTACAGCGACAATCACCGGGGAGCCCAGATTTGGATTCGGTGCGGATCTAGCAGGGGCCAGTCCAGCGACCGGTTTTATTGAAGGGTTGCTTCAATTGGGGGGGGTCCTGGAAGTCTCCAATGATTGCTGCAGATTTTGTCAATTGGTGATTGGCATTGTCCAGGCGTGTTTATGTTCCTGTAATAAGCGCTCTTTAGATTATAGATTAACCCTCGGGAACACATTTGCATGTAGCTTCAGATTGCGAGGATGCAATTGCAAACACGTCGCCTATTCCCTGTTATACTGCCTCTCTAGAGCATGCTACTGAGCACCAAGTTTGTCCGTGCAAAACCTACCTACTTCTTTTTTAAGTGTATATTATAAGAGCCAATGCCTTTATTTTAAGAACTCCATTATTGTGCTCCCTTTTGCTTAGCAAAATGTTGATGTAATGTTAGCTTTTGTTAAATATGGACAGTCAATTCAAGCAAGATATTGGTTATATTATTTAAGTGTAGAGTGTCTAAGAGATGATTTTCTTGTATTCCAAAAGTTGTAAAAGGATCTCTACATATATATTTTTTTTCTTTTCGATTCTGTTTCTTTTTTGTTGGTTCTCTGCAATCCCTTTTTTAGAAAAAAAACTTTAGTGGGGACTGTCCATGAAATACTTATGAGCAACCACGATGGATTTATGACACGTGTCTATTCGTATGCATCTAATACATCAGAGAATTGTAGTTTTTCAATTATTCCTCCTAAATTTAAACAATAGTCCCATATGTTGTTGCATATATATGGACACGTGTCATGAATCCACGGTAAGTGTCCATTAGTGTTACATGAGGACCGTCCCTACTAAATTCCCCCCTTTTTCGGGGTGTGTGTGGGGGTTGAGGCTTTAGGTTGCTATTACATGTGTAGCCAGGATCAGGCTTAGTGGAGTTGGTTTGAGTTGCTTAATCTTCCCCATCACATGTCCTCCTTTATTGTTGTTTTACTGTCATTTCTTCTTTTCTTTCTTTGACTAATAAGTTTAACAGCAAAGCTCTTGCTTTTATTTTTTTGTAAAAAGAAAAAATGTGATTGGCTACAATAGTTTTCTCCTTTATTTTACTATATAAGGCACAACATGTCTGCACAAATATCTCAAAGCAGAAGTGAAAATAAAAGTTCACAATATACTAGCAACAAAAAAGGAAAAAAAAGTAGGTATTTTCCATGGAAAACCAAATAATATCCTTAAAAAAATCAGACAATGTTCGAGCGGCCTGTCACTGAGACAAAAACGTGTTAAGCATATAAGCACTTTCAACTTGATTTGCAGTGGTCAGTTACGCAAGACGGGAAGAGAGTTTCCTTCTTCAGAGTCCTTTGATCCCAATATTAAGGAGAATGTGTGGGCCTTTAGAAGATTGTTGATCCCCTTGCCGACTCAATCCATCCTCAAAAAAAAAACAAGCTAATGTATTTTTTAAAAATTGGGACAATTTCCTTATTAGTTTCATTAACCATCCTTGGGCTCAAAATGAGAGTTGTTGACTCACTAATTCGCGAAGTTCACTTAATTGTAGATCAGCAATCAATTCGACACGTCCCACAAATTTCTTTATTCAGAAAAAAAAATTCCCACCTCTTTCCCTATTTGGACAATGTCTTGCGTGCGCCGTTCATTCTCTTATCGCACGCTCTGCCATGTGTGCTGGTTCTCCGACGTCTGACCTATCTAATCAGCGATCCCACCAGACACCAGCCCAACAACTTTCTTTTTTAGAAAGTTATAAAGTTATACTCACAACTTTTACGTATAACTTTTTGTGCAAAACTTATCACCATATTTTCTTAGAAAGTTGCAAAGTTATGTTCATAACTTTTATATATAATATTTTGTGAAACATAACACAATTTCCTTTTCTAGAAAAAAAACATTCCCATATTTTTTATTTTTTTGGAAAGGTACAAAATTATACATGTAACTGGTATGCATAACCTTTTACGTAGCAACTTATCATCATAACTTTTATTTTATTTTTTGAAAAAAAATATTTCCATAAACCTTTTATTGTTGGAAAGTTACAAGTTATACAAATAAATTATGTGCACAACATTTTACAGAACAACTTATCATCATAATTTTTTTGACTTTCTTTTTTGGAAAAAAATCATAACTTCTTATTTTTAGAAAATTACAAAGTTATACTCACAACTTATGTACATAATTTTTTACATGACAAATCATTAGCACAACTTCTCATTATAACTTTTGTAGATTTATGATCATAAGGTTTAATTAGATCAGAAGAAGAGAAAAAGTGAAAGAAGAGAGAAAATGGTGAAAAGAAAAAAAAAATATGGTGCACTGTTTTATATTATACGTCTACAACTAGTATATGAATACATATATGATCATATAAAATAGATAGGTTAATGTATAAAAAATAAAAAGAAAAAGGAAAAAGTAGAAATAAAAAAGAGAGAAAGATCGACGCACCTACGGTAAGCGTGCGAGCACTTGCGCGCATTCGACTCGAACAGCTCGGCAGCCTCCGCTCCGTGTAATAGAAAGAGGCAAGGGAGAGATAGAGAACAACAAAAGCTTTACAGGAGAAGGAGCAATGCACGGCATGGACGCGTGGTGGAGAGTGTTTGTTCGGTTGGATCGTTAGTAGGATTGGAAACAAGTGAACGCTCGTGAGAATGGGATTTAGGAGAGTTGCACATTTGTATCTATTTGCTTAGTGGTGTAGACATAGAAATGTCTATAGGGGTCAGGCATGAAGATTTTGTAATTAATAAAGTGAAATCACCACTGACGCCTTATTGTTAATGCGTACGTTACCTACTATTCATACACATGACATCAAACATGGGTTCCTTCACTCATTGGTATGGGGTATAATCACCTCCGTTAACCATTTAAACTATGCTCGATTCTTCAAGTTTATAGAATTTAATGGATAAAGCTGAATAATCGAACATCTTAGCAAAAATAAATAGGAATTTGTGGAATTGTGGTATCAATTGCATAAACTGAAATACCATGACCCATAAGAATTTGGAACTTTATGCAGAAATAATAATCTGCTTAGAACTTTGTTACCGCCAGAACTAATTTCAAATGCACTTTACCCCCCCCAAAAAAAAAAGAAAGAAAAAGAAAAATAGCGCTTAGCAGTCAAAATGATTGCCCAAATCTTACTCAACGGAGAGTTGCACTCAATAGTTATCTTGCTTCGTAGGATCCAAGTGCTTCTGATGAGAATCCAAGCAGAAAAGGCAGTCATTTGACGGACACGTTCCCTATTAAAAACCCATGCTAAAACCCCAGCGTTATCTCTTTGTGCGCAACGCAACGCGAGTCAAACGCTTGATCCATTTCGTTGCTTCTCACGGTAACAAGGCCTAAATAAAAGTGAACACTGCCAAACTACCAAGCTCCAAACACTCGCCGGCAGTAAAGCCACAGCCGCACCGAGCAGCCGGATCCAACCATTTGGTGCCATCTCATGAACTCCAACGCATTCTCGGATGCGGACGCATCGAAGGGCATAAATTCCATATTCTCCTGCTCTAAACGAGTTCGACAAATACGTGACTTTCACAAAGGCGCCCCGAACAAAAAAGGTAAGATACATTTTTCAACCTCCAACTCATATTGAAGTTCGATTTTTAACCTTCAACTATAAAATCGGGTAATAGCCACCCTCCAACTGTTAAAACTGGACAAATTTAGTCATTTGTTGGTTTCAAAAACGGTTTCTATTTTCTAATAATAATAAAAATCCAGTTTGATCTCTATAAGTTTGTAACTAATTTATTTTATTTAAATTATAAAAATATGAAACTAGTTTATGTTTTCTTCTAAAAATATTATATATATATATATATATGCTGATGCTATATTTAAAATTGTTTAGATCTTACTTTTTAAAAATAAATAATAAGCATGACAAGGAGCAATAAAGCAATAGGTACATAAATAAACAATTCCAAATACCTATATAGACAATAAACAAATAGAGAACATTTTTAGAAAAAAGTACTAGTTTCATCTAAAATAAATGTCGGTGGGGGATAGCAAACAACACCTTAATTCCGTGCGAAATTTAATTATGTGCAAAATTGAAAACAATTTTAATTATAGCATCAACATATATATAACATTATTAGAAGAAAACATGAACTAGTTTCATATTTTTATAATTTAAAATAAATTAATTACGAAATTCTAGAGGTCAAACCAGATTTTATTATTATTAGAAAATAGAAAACCACTTTTAAAACCAGCAGAGGACCAAATTTATCTGGTTTTAACAGTTGGAGGGTGTCTTTTTATGGTTAAAGGTTAAAAATCGAACTTCAATACGAGTTGGAGGTTGAAAAATATAGTTTAGCAATACAAAAATGCTACTACCACCCAAAAAAAAAAACTATGAGGCCCCTCGTCAGTGATCTCGCAAATTAGGTAGCCACGACGCACCGAGCTTTTTGTCGCGCGGCCGGGGCTTTTTATCATGATGAAGAGATGAGGACTGTTGCATCTATTCCCAATTCCAAAGTGCTGAACCGGAGGTGGCCACCGAGGCTGTTTGGATCTTTCTGGGGAAGATAGGCACAAACGCTATAAAAAAAGCTCCCCCCCTTCCCATTTGGGGCCTGAGCAACCCGCAACCACCGCACCAACCGCACGTTTAGGTACCGAGACTCCGAGAGGCAGGCAAGAACCGAGCAAATCAGGGCGGCTGCCTCTGCCTGCCAAGTCTTGGTCTTCGTCTTCGTCTTCGCGCGCTGTGTAAAGACTAAAGACTCGGCGGATGGAGGGGTCGACGACGACGGCGACTGAGGGCCATGTGGTTGGGATCCCGGTGAGCACCAGGGCTTATGGCATCGAGGAGCCCGACTTCCCGGCGGAGGAGACGCAGACGCCCGACCGTGGAGAATTCCCGAGCTCCTTCCAGTACAGCAGCCATAGCCATGGTGAGAGCCTCACCTACCTCCTACCCCTGTTCTTGATGATTTGTCTGCTCGAGTTAAGTTCACTGCTGCAAGAAGCGTGTGGAAGGAACCAAGAAAATCGAAGCGTATTGCTGATCAAGCTGTTTTCCACCTTTTCATTCAGATGCTACCAGCTCAACGACACCGACGACCACCGATCGGCCGACGAGCAATCAACAACAAGCCAGCAGGAAGGCAGACAAGATCGCTCAGGGCATCAAAGAGCACGGTAATTACTTTTCCATGCTGGAAGAATGGAACAATTCTAGCTAATCAAGGCTGTGTGGAAGGAAGAAGCCGATGCCTTCTTCTTCTTGGCCACGGAATAAAGTAGACTGAAGTTGCTTGCTCTGACGCAGTGACCCTGGGCCCAAAGCTGTCGGACACGGTGAAGGGGAAGCTGTCGCTGGCCACCAAGATCCTGCAGGCGGGCGGCGTGGAGAAGATGTTCCGGCAGTGGTTCTCCGTGGACAAGAACGAGAAGCTGCTGCGGGCGTCGCAGTGCTACCTGTCGACGACGGCGGGGCCCATCGCGGGGATGCTGTTCGTCTCCACGGCGCGGGTGGCGTTCCGCAGCGACCGGTCGCTGGCGGTGTCCACCCCGCGCGGCGACAGGGCCGGGCGCGTGCCGTACAAGGTGACCATCCCTCTGCGGAGGGTGAAGTGCGTGCGGCCCAGCGAGAACAAGCACCGGCCGGAGCAGAAATACGTGCAGCTCGCCACCAACGACGGCTTCGAGTTCTGGTTCATGGGCTTCGTCAGCTACTACAAGTCGCTGCACCACCTGGAGCGCGCCGTCGCGTACGCGCAGCAGGCGCAATGACGGCAGGCGCCCGCCGGCGCACTGGTCGCTGATGGGGGTAGTAGTTTCTTCATGTGAGCGCCGTGCGTGTCGTCTTGGTTTGTACGTGTAGGTGGGATAGTTGGTTCTGGCTGTGTGTGTAGGCTGCAACATGTCGTTGTACATCTTGGGGGATCGGTTGCCTTGTGGACTAGACTAATTAATCGGCTGGTTACCAGGTTGGTTAGAGGCGATCGATCAGGGCATGTGGTCTTTTTGGGGTTGGGGAAGAGGAAAATTCATGAATTTGGAACAGAAAATGGCTGCGTGGAAATGGCAAAACTGCCATCAATATCCATTCTTTTCTAATAAAGGAAAAAGATGTGCCGAAAGGGTATTCAGTATTCACACCGCAGGGCCTATCCAAATTTCTTCTTCTTTTCAGGGTGTATCTCTGCATAGTGTGAACGCAGCGATTTCGTAAGTGTAAATTGATGTGCAGGATGATACGAGGTTGATGTCGATTTCGTAATTGTAAATTGATGTGCACGATGATACGAGATCGATGTGTAGCTACGTTTTCTTATTGCTTTGAGATGATGTCTGAAGAATTCCGACATTAAGGGTGTTCACAACATTTCTTACTGTCCAACAAGTACTAGCACTCGGACGCTACATCTGACTGAATGATTGAGTCCAGTTAACTGCTTTTGCACAAATCAAGACTCAAATAACTGAATTCAATTCTCTGGTTCTCCAGTCTGATTCAATCAGACCCCGGCATAACTGTCGAGATCGGTGAAAGACCATAGAATAGTATCAGCCACACAGAAAATCAGAACCAGCATAATTTTCTGACTGAAAGGGAGCATGTATCTGACTGAAAGAGACTGGAATTCAGTTCGCTGTTTTCGTAAAGACTACAGAAACTACACAAAACCAGACTGAAAGAAATTCAATTGAATTTAGTGGTTCTCACAATATCATGTCTTATTCAGTCAGGTGCGGCAGCATTGGAGTAGCAATGTCCAGCTTGGTTATTAGCTAAAGCCTAAAGAGGATAAATACCATCACATGGGACGAGTGGACGACCACAAATCAGAAGAACCATATTCCTCCGACCTGCCTAACCGATTACCTTGAGAACTAAGATTTCCGACTGTCCTCGGCACCAAAAATTCTGATCTGCAAATGTACATATTAAAGAGAGAGAGAGAGAGAGAGAGAGAGAGAGAGAGCTGCTCCAACTCTACCTGCTAGGGCTATGGTATGACCTCACCGAAGGACATTACTATTAAGGCAGAAGGCCTCAAACCCACGACCTAGAGGTGCCACTAAAATCACTTACAAGTTACAACCACTAGGCTAGGCTACAGGCTCTTTCTTTCGCCAAATGAACGTATTAGAAACTCCATATTAGGATTTAATAAAGTCTTTCAAGTACTACTTTAACAATTAGGCGTTAGCTAATATATTATCGATTACTACAGACCGATACCTTATTAAAAAAAAAACATGTGGATACGAATCATACAGGTTCCAGGGAAATCATGGTGGACCATCAAGTCTTTGGCTTACCCAGAAACCGGCTTGTTCGCTTTTTTTTTTCAGCCGGAAGAGCGTTTTTCTCTCACAACAATTCAGTCAGAACAGTATTTTCAGCCAGTTTCAGCCAAAATTCAGCAAGTCGAACGGGGCTGTCACGGCAACTGAAATTATATATATACAGGTTCCAGGAAAAAATGATTAACTACGCAGACTTTTTTTTTTTTTTGAGGAAACAACTACGCAGACTTGAACTAGTCAAGTTGGAACTTGGAAGCATGCGTGCCAGACGGACTCTGTCCAAATCAGCAATGCCGAATCGTATCCTGGACAGCATTCAAACCTTAGCACTGAAGCGCCCAATGGCGAGTTTTTGTTTGGAGGCCAAGGGAACGAACGAAACGAATCAACGATACGCGCTTCGACTTTTACGACAGCTTCCTTTGGTTTGGTCGTCCTTCGTCCTCCCTTTCAGTCATTTGCGTTCCATATCTGGACGAACAATGTGCTCTGTCCCGCCGCTTTGGACCCCCCACCAGGATCAGGCAAAACCCTCTTTCAGAATCTTCTCACAGTTATCCGATCAGACAAGATGAGATTACCTTTTACGCACTTCATGACCGAAGTAAAAAGGCCATGCAACACGGTTTGTCTTGGCCATGAAGCTATCGCCTACAAGAGGCGCAGGAGCACCACTTCAGCAAAAAAAAAAAAAAAAAAAAAAAAAAGGTCGCCTTGCATTTTGCCTCATTCAAGCCGATCCGATAACCATAACCCGCTTCCATTTAGTCCCTGCAAAGTGATCTGATTTGCAACTTGGGTCAGGTACAAAGCCGCAGCTGCAGGAACAGCCCTGGACAGTCTTCACATCTTCTTTTCTTTGACAAGACAGGACAGCATTGTTGTTGGACCGAAAACGTTGCACGGTGGATGTATTTCCGACAGAAACGGACTCGCTGGCCGGAGACGCGAGTGTCGAGCGGAGACTTCGGACGGGAGGGAAACCGGATGAGAGGCGAGAAAGGGGAGCGGCGGTCGGGCTGTTTAGGCGCTTCCGATCGCGAAGTGACCAAAACCAGAAAACAGAGGTTTTTCGCTGGAAACAAAAGGGGCGTTGTTTTACACGTTGGATCGCCATGGATCTGCATCATCCATAGCCCATAGGCCACGGGACGTGGGGCCTTGCTGTGGATCTTCTCCTCTCTGCAGGCTGCTGCAGCCCAGCAGTTGAGTTTTTCCCCTCATTTTTCCCTTTTTGGAAGGAAAAGGTCACTAGGTCAGTGTTTCCTTCTGCTATGACTATGAGTCTGATCATGTGGGTATGTTTTTCACGGTTCGGGGTGCTTTAGATGCAGGGTTAAAGTTTAAGAGGTGTCACGTCGGTGTTCGGATACTAATAAAAAAATAAATTACAGAATCCATCAATAATCCACGAGACAAATTTATTAAGTCTAATTAATCCATTATTAGCATATGTTTACTGTAGCACCACGCTACTAAATCATGAACTAATTAGACTTAAAAAATTCGTCTCGCAAATTAATCTCAATCTATATATTTAATTTCATAATTAATCTATATTTAATCCTCTATATATATGTCTAAATATTCGATGGGATTAGTAGTGTTATATACAAACGAGCCAGTGCCACCATCTCTTTCTCCAATCTCCACTGAACTAGGAGCTAGAAATCCGTCCGTCATATTCCTCCTACCTTCTCTGTTTATCTTTGTGCCTCGGTCGTTATTTACCTTGAACGACACAGCTCCTGCCCTTGTTCTAGGAGCTAGCAGTCCGTCCGTCATATTCCTCCTACCTTCTCTGTTTATCTTTGTGCCTCGGTCGTTATTTACCGTGCTTCGATGCTGCGGTCCACAATTTGCTACCAACAAATGCATGGACATGACAATTTGTGCTAGTATAGTTTTGGGATTATACAAGGTTTGCCCTAAAAAAAGTTATCTTAACTCCAAACACACAACAATTTATATACGGTAAGAAAAAAAGAAAGCGACGCTGAAAAAGACTACCGGTAGGTATTGAGCATCTCCAAACTACCCTTTTTATCTTTCTAATTCTTGGTTTTTACTAAGATGAGAAAAAAAAACCTTCAATAACTCATAATCCATGCTCCTAAAATTTAGTCACTTGGGAAATCCTCCCCCATCACGCGTAACTTTGCGCGTAGTCGCGGTTGCGCGGATACGCTGCGTATCAGTTGGTCAATCTGGTGGAAGGGTGTGGGAAAGAATAAGAAGTAGAAAAGGATTTCTGATGCAAATATACGAGAGATAAGGAATATATAAAAATGGTTACGATAATTTAATAATAGTACATGATTCCTGATGTAAAGTTGCATTCTATATCTTAGAAGTAGATTATTGGAAACTCTTTGAGATGGCTTTCTTTTTTCCTCCCAATACATTTTTAGGAGTTACAAAACTACATATTTTTTGGAGAAAAAAATAGAATACTCTTACATATACTCTTATGTGCGGGTACTTAAAAACTGAAACCCTCAAATGAAAGAAAATCGATAATGATACAATGTGGGCGTCCATCTGTCCGGACGCCGTGCTCCCGCACTCCGCCTTATCCAGCGCCGCTCGTCAGTCGTAGGATCTCTGGTTGGCCTAGAGGGGATGAATAGGCCTATCAAAACAAATACTCAAACTTTTATCAAATTCACCTGCGGCACTGCCGCTCTGGAGGGCGGCACTGCCGGACTGCAGCACTACCGGCCAGAACAGCGGCACTGCCGCACCTGCAGATAACTTCAAGTCACAGTTCAAAATCAGTGAACGGAAACTTAGATCGGAGAAATTTCTCAGCTTACTGCAGGTATTATAGTCACATATCAAGAGCTAGAATGAGTAGAAACACCACATACAAGTAGATCGACTAGAAACCCTAGAAATCACCTCAACCAACAATATAAATACAAATAATGTAAATCAAGCACAAGTGGCACAATGATTTATCTCGTGGTTCGGCTCACCATCAAGGCCTGCCTACCTCCACGTTGTTGAGGTTAACCACTGAGGCTTATGGCTTTTCAACCATTCATCGTTCTCAAGTCAAGAGACTTAACTCTTAAGATGAGGGGTGAGTATACTAGCTTCAAGAGATGGTTACAAACCTCCCGAGGCTGTCACACAAGTTGACAAGCTTCACGGGCGACGCTTTAGCCGGCTAGGAGCCAAGCTCCAAGAGTAACAAACACAACCATCGGCCAAAATGTGAATCAAGTGCTTTTTTGAGTTGGGGAATCAATGGAGCTACTCTCTAATAGAGTTTTGGACCCTTTTCACTCAAGGATTGATGGGAAAATCAATGAATTTGATTGGGTGCTTGAGGTCAATAATGGAGGGAGAGAGAGAGTTCCTTTTCTATTTGGGCGTGCTGGAATTAGCAGGAGGAGGAAGAAGAGACATTGGGGAGGAAGAGGATGGGTATAAATATCCCCTCAGCCCCAACGGTCACTTAAGTCGCGGCAGTGCCGCAGCTTAAGTGCGGCAGTGACGCACTGCGGCGGTGCCTCTCTTCAAATGCGGCAGTGCCGCACTACGCAAGACATCAAGGATAAAAGTAAAGTGTAGACTGTCTTGGCTGTGAATCTGAGGATGCATGTATATGTTTGAGCACTTGGTAGCACATATTAGTTTAAGCATTGTGTCCCCCTTTATAGTACAGCTTTTCATATACCCAAATTCAAAATATAAAAGAATTTAAATCTCCTTTGAGTTTGAAGCCATCTACATTTGTAATTGGAGGCTCCACCGTTTCGTGTAGCATCTTCAAACATGAATTCCCTGCTTGTCATCTCGATAAATCTCATTAATTCTCTAATTGCATGGTCATTATCACCAAAACCCACAATTAGAGCTTGATTGCACTTTCTGTCCGCTTCTAAAAAAAGAGGCAGCGCGAGGCCGCTCGCCATGGCCTTCTCCAGTGCGGTGGCACCGCATCGGCCCCCATCCTGCGCTGCTCCATGCTCTTTCTCCCCACTCCGCGCCGCATGGCGTGGCCACCCGCCCCACTCTGCCGCGCCGCCGCCATACCCCACGGCGTACCCATCCCCCGAGATGCCTCCGTCGCTGGTGCTGTCAGGCCGTGCCACCATTCTTGGCCGCCGGTTGGCCAGAGCTGGCCCCTCCCTCTCTGCGCTGTGTCGTACGGAAGAAGGATGAAACACGCATGTTGCAAGCCTATGTTTCAAGTTTTCCGGATGTTTTATAGGCATGTTGTAAGTGTTTTATGTGGATATTACAAAAGTATATCAGGATGTTGTATATGTTGCAAGTATTTCAGAGGCATATTACAAGCATTTGTTGAAAATATTTTACCTATTTTTCAGACGTATATTTGCAAGTGTATTTTTATTTGGATGTTGTATATGTTTCACATATGTTACAAGAGTATGTTCCAATGATTTCAATTGTTTTAGTCTTATGTTGCAGTAAGTGTTTTCATGTTGCAAGTGTTTTATCTGGTTTTTGCATATGTTTCACACATATGTTTCAAGTATATGTTTCAAATGTTTCATCCGCTTTAGACGTGTGTTGCATTGTGTTTCTTGATGCAAGTGGGGGCACTGTCGGGGCGTCGGGGGATGGGACGCGACGAGCCGAGTGCCCACGGATAGGGCGCGTTGGGGCCAGCGGTCGGGGCGGGTGACAGGCTTGGGGTCATGCGGACGGCGATGTGCTCGTCCTCATTCCGGCTCTAGGTCCCGCCCGCGCGGAGAGAGGGGAGCGGTGTCTCTGGGAGGGAGCCAGGATGCAGCGACAAGGGCGGGTGCACGTGCGGGGCATCGTGAGGCGAACGGATGGGCTGCGCATACGTCCGGACGCTAAACACGCACAAAAAAAATCCATATATTAGAATTAGATCCTCAGGCCTCCCTCTCCCCGAGCCCCCCTGGGCATGATGGCAGGGCACCCCCACGTCCCCAGCCTCGCTTTTTCCCGTAACCCGGCGCACGAACGATTGTGCGAGCACATGGGCTGCTTCTTCGAAAGCGGCCAACCATCCGCCGCGCCGAGCCACCTGTCCCCGCGACGCAGCGGCCGTGGACAAATGGGGCAAGCCCTTAGCCCTCCACGCCCTCGCGCGGCGGAAAGAAGCAATAGCCTCTTGCCTGCCTAACTGATGACTCCGGCCGGCCGCGCGCACGATCGAAAGCTCACAAGAGCGGCGGGCGGATGACACAGCCCCACGTAAGCCCGGCCCTTTCCGCGAGCATGGACCGCTCCTTGCGCCGATGAGGAGTTGCTGACTCTGCGCGAATCCACTCCCTTCCAGCCCAAGATTTCATCACCCCTGCGGCCCGCCGGCCGCGGCTTATAAAACCGGCTCCCCTGCTCTGCCGTCCCGAGCCACCTAACCTTGCACAACAATCGCACGCTCCTCTCTCTCCCGTCTCCCGCACGGCACTTGGGTACGTAGCGCGAGAAGGAGATCGATCGAGAGCCATGAAGAAGTCGAGCGGCAGCAGCCATGTGATCGGAGTTCCCGTCACCTCCACGGCGTACGCCATCGAGGACACGACGACGACGAGGGACCGGCCGGCGGCTAACCAGGACGGAGACGATCGCCTCGCGGTCTCGTTGACGCACCCGAGCCCCTACACTTCCTTCGGCTACAAGCACAGTACGTCCTGCACCCGGCTGACCGGCCCTCAAGCTTGTTGTCGCTTCGCTGATAAACATTTTGCACTTGATTGATGCTAATAAGAAGCTCACACGTTATGTTTTCCAGGCAGCAAGGGTCAGGTGATCCACTGGGTGAGCAAGCTGGGAAGACGAGCTCAGAGCTTCAGGGACCATGGTGAGCACCAGTCAACAGCTTCTATATATATTTATACATGCATGTAGCTTCACCAGCTCAGTGGCAGTGAATGATGGGAGAGATACGTGCAGTTGAACTGATATATTGTCCCCTTCTCGGTGCAGTGACACTGGGTCCGAAGCTATCGGAGACGGTGAAGGGGAAGCTGAGCCTGGGCGCGCGGATCCTGCAGGCCGGCGGCGTGGAGCGCGCGTTCCGGCACGCCTTCTCCTCCTCAGCCGAGAAAGGCGAGCGGCTGGTGAAGGCCCTGCAGTGCTACCTCTACACCACGGGCGGGCCCATAGCCGGGATGCTCTTCGTCTCCACCCGCCGGATCGCCTTCCGCAGCGACCGCTCCCTCGCCGTCACCTCCCCGGCGGGCGGCGACGCCATCGTCGCGCGGGTGCCGTACAAGGTGGCGGTGCCCCTGAGGCGGATCAAGAGGGTGAGGCCGAGCGAGAACGCCGACAAGCCGGAGCAGAAGTACATTCAGGTGGCCACCGTCGACGGCTTCGAGTTCTGGTTCATGGGGTTCGTCAGCTACCAGCGGTGCTGCAAGTACATGCAGCAGGTGATCTCCGAGCTGTCGTAGCTCGATCATGGCTCCATTACCGGCGTGGACGAGCGTGCGTCAGCGTCCCATCTGATGTCTGGCGGTGGCAGTCGAAGTGAAGTTTGTGGGCTACTGTGCGCGGCAATGTCTTGCTGGAACGTCGTCTGTAGTCACCAACTGCATGCTCCACCGTGTTTCCATGGGGGCGCACGTTCCTTCCACGTACCATTTGGATTGGCTGACAATTGTATGGTCTTCCAAGTTCTGTTAATTATGTTATTAGTAGGATTGATGGATGGACCAAGGAACTTGGTTTTGCTAAATGAAAATATTACAATTGTTCTCAGGACGAGGAGGATCAAGTTCGTTCTCACCCTCGGTATTTTCTTTTGTTGGAGAGGACTTTTGGGATGTGACTCATAGACAAGGGTAAATATGATCCCTGTTATCCCTCACTCACAATCACAACCATGTCGACCATTTCCAAATTACGAATGAATCTTAAATCCGAATCCTTCCCGATCCAACCATTTTACTTTTTTGGATTTTTTAGAGGAAGCGAATTGTCGGCCAAAACTTTTCATAAAGATGCAACGTAGAATGCATACAAGATTTGTGAACAAGGGATAGAAGGGAAAGTCCACGTATAGGTTTACATCCTCAAACATCTTTGAGCCCTATTACAAATGCTAGCTTACTAGGTAAAATGCACGTGCGTCGCAACAGGGAAAAAATAATGTCAGGGTAACATAGTATGAGCGTGTGTTGTATTGTTAGTAAAAACGATATTGCGAGCATGATGATATTTAGAACTTTATGTCATTATAAAGGATAGACAATTAAATATAACTCAAATTTTGATACGAAACTGAAGCAATCAAGTTCATACCATAAGAACCTAGTTCATTACGTCTATCCTTAGAATCAACTACTAACCTTAGAATCACCACCATTTGCTCCTTTATTGATACATCTCGAGACTCATCAATAAACACCAAGAATTTTCTACCTCGAATCTCATCCATAATGACAGTCGTGACTTCCTCCGCAAAAGCTTTTGTAAGGTCCTTTTGTATATGATGAGATAACATCTGGTAATTTTTAAAACCTTTTTCATATGCCTTCTTCACTATCTCAACCTTATCTTTATACCATTCAACCTTCTCTTTGTATGTACCCTTGTTAAGGGAATAAAAAGTCTCATCATGTCCATGGAAAGTATCCCCTTGCGATACGAGAAATCTTGCAACATCTAAATAAGATGTAAAACGAATCACGTATACTTTTTCTTCCTCCTTGCTTACTTCAACTAATTTTCTACCCACATTTGTCCTTTGGTTCATAAAGTCATCACACTTTAGCCTGGCCTCTACATGATTCTTGCAAACACCATGATTATTAAAAATATCCTTAGCTTTCCTCCAATTCACATAACCTTGATGTGCAAAGATAGGACTCCTAAATTTTTTAGGCTTTGCCGAATTAAAGAAGAGATAGCAATATAAGCAATAAGTGGACTCACTATACTCTAGCCAATCAAATTCATCAAACCAAGTCTTTTTGAAATGATCTCCATTCACCAACAATCCATTTACGAGGAAATAGAAAATCACGAGGTTGTGTTGGACCACTCAAAGCATATGCTCTCTTTACTTGGTCTCTAATTTTATGTTCATAATCATCAATTGGTTTGCGTTTTCCAGGGTCCCCAATCATGTTCAATTGACTAAACTCTGCTCTAAGTTTCTTTGGTTGACTTGTACTCTCATTAGCATGTGGAGTTGAACCACTACAACTAGAACTTGAAAAGCAACTGTGTAGAGTCCTTTTTGACATTTTGAAATCTGACATTTCAATCACATATTCAATTCAAACATTCAATCACAGACAAATAAGTATTTAAGTTTCGTTCACCCAATCACCCTGCTCTACTTGTTGCTCGGCTTCCTGCTCCTGCTCCCGTGCTCGGTGGATGGTGGCCTACTGCCCCACCCTGTGCGGTCGCGTTGGTGCCCCCCACGGCCCCTCTCGGGGCCTGACCCCACTCGACCTCCGGCCCCGGCGCCCTGGCCGCTGCCCGCCTACGGCCTGCCTACACGGATGTGTGGCCGCTTTGGCACGCTTACCACTCACTGCCTTCTTGTCGCCCATGTGCTAGGGCCCCATGGTCACAGCAGCATGATCATGAGTCGCGTCCTTGTGTGCTTGCTCGTGAGTCGAGCTTCTTTCCCCGCTGTTGGGGCCAAGAGGCAGGAGTCACGATGGGGAATTGGCAACGGATGGATAGGGTTTCTCTTTGGGCTAGATGAATTGCTAGCCCAACTCGCGAGGGAGGTTGTCTCCTACCTCCGGTTCGACCGCAACCCCTGCTACACCATACAACTATGCCTAAAAATTCATGGGGGCTCCAAGGGTCCGGTAGCGGTAGCGCTGGATTCAACCATAAGGACCCAATCGATCTGCTTTGCTACAGCACAGAGAGAAGTCATGAGCAACTCTAAGAGACTCTCTATATCCTTTCTAATTATTAAGAATAGAGGTTTTAGTGAAAAATACCATCCAACGACTTCTTTATTTGATTATCCAAATATAGTCATCTTCTATTTCAAATTTTCATTAGCCAAAACTAAAAAACGAGAATGGCTCTCTAGGGTGCAAACAAGATATAGAAAAACTGTTGTAAAATGAAAAGATATAGAAATAGATTTTTATGACTCTAAATGTTGATTCAGAGAGTGAGTTTTAAAAACACTCTTAGCAGTTTATTTAGTTTAGGAAACAAATAACGAAATGAAAGGAGGCAATGGATATAATGCAGAAGGAAGGGTTAATAGTTTGGAAGGTAAATGGAAAGCTCCCCATTTTCCTCAAACGTGGTTTGGTGGGATGACTGGTTTGGTTAGCGGATGGATGTGCAACGTTAGGGATTTCAACCGGGCATTTTTTAGTTGGGGGTGGCATTGACGAATAATTGTTTATGGGCCCTACGAAGAGTGGTATTTGGAGAGAAGTTTTTACAGCGCCAGGCAGACTATCATGCTGAGGGCACGAAGCTGGGTGGACAGAATCATTTGACGCTTTTTTAGTTGTATATAGATATATAGATATAGATAGATATAGATAGAGATGGAGAAGAGGTTGTTTGGATCGCTAGTTCAGTATGCCCATAGACATAGGTCAGTCAGATGCCGCATTTCGTAGGATTTGGATGGTGGACGTTTCCTGATCGTTGATGGTTTGGGAAAGCAAACTTTGCCCCTAAGGGCATGTGCCCTCCTAATGTACATCAATGCGTGCACATCAGGAGAGACATTCCCGTAACATTGAATACTGAACATACGCGCCCACACGATTCTAAAAGGACCGTGTATACCGAAAAACAGCTAAAGCACAGTGGCAAGGGGAGATCGTTATGCGCAGGCCCAACACACACACACACACACCATACATCGCAGCATCAAAATTTTCATCAACGAACTTAATTAACCTGTTTTAAGTTATTACAGGGCCAACGTCAAATGTTTAGACGATCACGGATCTGCTTCTAGTGAACTCGGACCAGCATTTTCAAAGACTCAATGAAACATTCCACGATGGGACGATGCTGCTAGAAGATGGTCAGAGCTTCATGTTGCGAACAACCAAAGCCCACCCTGAGAAGCCTGAAGCCCATCGTGAGAAGCCTGATGTTCCAAGTCAGGTAGCTTGCACGCCTCTTGATGCACTTCTAGTGGTGCACATGAGGGGGCACATGCCCTTAGGAGCAAAATAAAACTGCTTTCATGAAGGTCTTAGCATTCATCCCGTTCCATATATTCCACGAGAGGTTAACAAGGATGGTGGACGAAATTTGCAGTGACACCCCGCCTAGCACAGAAACAGTTTTTTTTTCAACATTAGAGATTTTTCACGTCAACGGTTTATAAAAAACAAAGGCTAGTGGAAATAGAACTATGAGCCCATGACTATAAACCGCTAGTAGAGACACATCTCTACTGATGAAATTCTTAATAAGGTTACCCTAGTACAAATCATTTATTTACACTAGCGGTAGGCTTAAGAGAGCCGTCATTATAAATTGAATTTATATTGGTGGTTGTCTTACATTTACCGCCTATATAATCTAGGATTTCTATTGGAGGTAACGTTAATAAAACCGTCACTCTAGATATGTTTATACCTGGCGGTTTTCTTAACCCACCGCGAATACAAATAATTTAATATTACTTTTTTATATAATTTTAAAATGATATTGGATGGAGAAATAATCTAAACAAGGGTTGTAGTACTCGAAAAGATCTCCAACTTCATATTCACTACTTTTTTTCATTTGAAATCATTTGGGGTCTGGAAATTCGGTTTTAAGATTAACAATTTGAAATTAATATTTTATGATTTTTTTAGACCTTGATGGGAAATGACCTAAACCAAATTGTAGTGCTCAAAGAGATCTAGAAGTTTTTAGTTCAAACTTTTTGCATTTAATTTCATTTAGGATCTCAAATATGTTTTACAACATTTACTAAAGTGAATACGAAAGGCCTATAGATTCAACCTCAGATATGATGTGTTGGTTCCAGTTGAGGAGAGAACAGACATTGCCCTCTCCCCCCTACAAAGGCACTTATATTTCAGCTGTCAGAGAACACAGCAACACTATGTCATTAGGCAAATGTGTGCATGTGTTATGCCAGGGAGGAGAGTCTCTTAGCAGTTTGATAAAATAAGTTCTAGTGAAAATGGCAAGGAGTGGGACTGTTTTTGGAAAGAGGTAAGACAAAGACCCATTTGTATATAGGGAAGGCTTATCGGCTTTCCATAGAGTTATCCAGTTAGATGCTTGACAGCTTGGGCCTTGCAAGAGACCCCAACCAAGACCAGTGGAAAGTGCAACTTTTTTTTTATACCTCGATAAAACGTCACCACACAGGAATTTGTGTTCTCTACCATACTCTTTACATTTCGTATCACCTTCTCTACCACACAGGAATTTGTTTTACTTTACTAGAATTGCCCGTGTACTCCCTCCATACTAGTAATTCAAGTTGTTTTGGACAAGGCTTAGAAAAAGTCTACTTAACCCCTCCACCTTTCATACTTGGTCTACTTCACCCCCAACTATAAAACCGTTTGTTTTACCCCTGAACTTTCTAAAACCGTCTATTTTAACCTCTAGGCGGTTTTCAGCGGCGGGTTTGCTACACTAACAACAGGTTGCTACAGTAACAATGGTTTTGAATTTTTTTATTTACTTTCGGTGAATTTTTAAAAAATCATAGTAAATCATAGAAAAATTATAAAATGAAAAATCTAATTTTGTTGGACTCCACATGAGTAGATCTACATAGTGAATATATAATACGGTATGCTTTAATACAAAATTTTTACTGTAACCTTAGATTAATTAGAAAATCTAATTTTGTCTGTAATTAATTGGAATAATTCATAGCTGCAGCTTCTATGGTCCAATTGTGGTGAAATTTTTATGGTATGCTAATTATTGTATGCTTGAACTATAGTAAAAATTTCGTACTTATTGGACTATGTATAACTTAGTTATAGATAAATTCTAATTAATTACAGACAAAATTGGATTTTCCAATTAATCTAAAGCTAAAAAAAAAATTATACTAAAGCATACCGTATTATATATTCACTGTGTAGATCAACTCATGTGGAGTCCAATAAAATTAGATTTTTCATTTATGATTTTTCTATGATTTTTCAAAAATTCACCGAAAATAAATAAATAAAAAATTTCAAAACACTGTTACTGTAGCAACCTGCTGTTACTGTATCAAAAACACCACTGAAAACCGCCCAGGGGGTAAAATATACGGTTTTAGAAAGTTCAGGGGATAAAACAGACGGTTTCATAGTTGGGGGTGAAGTAGACCAAGTATAAAAGATGGGGGTTAAGTAGACTTTTTCCGACAAGCCTTGGATCAAACATTGAAAATATAAACCATGAATAACTTTTAAGTTGTTGAGTTTTTCAGAAATGTGAAAAAAATGAATAGATTTGTCTTGAAAAGTACTTTCATGAAAATATACATATATCACTTTTTAATAAATATTTTTATAAAACTAAGAAGTCAAAATTATGCTTTGGAGAGCATGTCGCTGTCCAAAACGACTTGAATTACCAATATGGAGGGAGTAGATGTTAATATTAGAATATATTACATCCGTTCCTAAATTACAAGTCATTCCAACTTTGTTGGAGAGTCAAAGCATCTCAACTTCGACTCAAATTATAGAGAAAATTATAAAGATTAATGAAAATATAATAATACTTATTTAATATCATAAATATTATTAGGTTATTGTATAAATTTGATCAAGAGATGATTTGACTCTTTAAAAAAGTTGAAATAATTTATAATTTGGAAGGGAGGGAGCATGTGGTCAAACTTTGTACGGGTCATCAATTGTGGTTTTATAAAATCTTATTGGTCAAAGATTACTACGAGAAATTGAACCAAATGCCTTTTGCTGATGGTTTGGATCTATCGTCTACGTGCAAAGTTTCTCCAGCCTCTTTTTATCAGTTAGACGCAGGCTCGCTAGTCAACGAACTGTCTCATCAAGGTGCTAATGAGTTGAGCCGAGCCGATCTAAAGTTTTACTGGCTAATGAGCCGAGGCGAGCTGGCTCTTTTGGTTAACGAGTTCGAGCCGAGGCGGCTCCTCGTACGCAGCCATAAGCCGAGACCGCGAGACGACTCAAGCCCCAGTGCCGGAACAGCAGGAGAAGAGAGAGATGGAGAACGGCGGCGGCGGCAAAGGCAAAGGTGACGTCCCCGACGACGCGAATGAGCGTAAGGAACCATTCCCCTGTGCCCTCCGGTGGCCTCCTTCTTCGTCGTCTCTTCTTTGCGATTAGGGCCGGCTTTCTGCAGCCATGTTTTCTGGAGTTTGATCGCCTCATCCCACAAGAGGCGAAATTTTCATTGTTTCATCTGATATAGATGAAAAATTTCAGTTATTTCCATCGCTGGGTTGCTTTACCCAAGCTTGGTTCAAGGGTATTTGTGTTTCTGATAGATATGCTTTGTTTGGTGTTGCTCAGATTGCCCTGGAACGCAGTCGGAGGAGGCGGGGAAGGCGGATGCCTGCGCCGGATGCCCCAACCAGCAGTTTGCTCCACCACCCCCAAGGGCCCCGATCCCGGTAATTGGATCATGCATTTTCTTATTGTTGAATTCTATTCGATTCTGTGACTTGCTCTGGGACTGGTTTACTGTTATCTCCATCAATCGTCATATCATTTTATTTGATCAGTAAGCTTAGAGCTTAGTTTATTTACATTTTATTACAGTGCCCGTAGATTTGGTACTTTTTCTGTTTTTATTTAGTACAGAATCTCCCCTGAAGCATTTTATATTTAAGGATTTACAACAGCTGCAAGTGCTTATAAGTAAAGGCCAAGTGCTGGTAGGGACTAGCCTGTAGTTTTGAGCAGCTGAGGTCCAAAAACAAAGGGAATTCAATCGGAAATTGTAGCACCACTAAAAGAGTCCAAATTTGCACTAGACATGTACTTGCTTGATCCAATTATATATGATTGAATGTTGAAGCAATCAAATTTAAGAATTGTTCAAAGTAAGTTAACTTTGTCTGAGTATAGTATTGAAACAATGTGGCTCCTGTAAAGCAATTCATGGTGATGCAAACGTGTAGTAGTATCCAGGGGTCACCTGATATCCTGATGCCACATCCTATTATCTGTGCTGCTAAAGAAGGTTCAATCATGGATGGATCTTTAGTGTCCAGATTTCATATCTGAATCTTGCTCCAAGTATTTGGCTGGTTTGCTAGATAGTAGGTTCTGTTGCTTCAAACCTGTGTGCACCCATGTGCTATAGGGAGTGACACATCACAAGGAAAGCCTCATGAATAAATGGTTATAATGTGTGATTGTGGTAACCGTTAGTTGGTGAACTCTTGCTAGTGATTAGGCTTTTTAGCATGCTCTTTATTGTCAATTCGTACTGTTAATCATAACCTTTTGAGCAGTGAAGGTCCAAAAACTAAGGGGGTTGAATCTGAAGTTTTCAGCTGCCTAATAAAAATTTTCACCAGACCAGTGCCCATCCTGCGTCTAGTCTAATCCAATTGATTAGTTAAATATTGATGAAGCAATTAAATTTGTGACTTCTTCAAAGTTTTGTCTGATTAGTGTAAAAACACTGTGACCGAAGTGGTGGGGACTTGGGAAATTGCGATTCCTGTAAAGCAATTCACCTATTACCCGTTGAATTCCTTATAAGCAATTCATTATGACATGTTCATTCCTGTAAAAGAAATAAAGAATTCATTATGACCTATTGTGGTATCCAGATGCCACATCCCTTTAATCCAAATTCCAAAAGGATAGGAAGAGTCCACTGCAACTAATGCTTTTGAAGGTTCTAACTTTGATGAATCTTGAATTTGGTGAGATTAAAAGAGTGCATGGTTTTTATATTTGGATCTTGTTCCAAGCGTTTGAGGGGGGTTTTATGCCAGGTTGTAGGCTCTGTTGATTCAAACCTGTCTTTTCCTTGCCCTACAAGGATTGCAGATCATACCGCAGAAAAAGAATATTCTTTGGAAAAATATCAACAGTCATTTTCTGTTACTTCTGATAACTTCTTAGCAACCTTGGGATCTCCATGATCTTTGAGAGGTCTATGGAGTATGAATATGACTACACCATCAAGTTTTCAATGACTTCCATCAATCAGTTCAGTGCTATAAATAAATGTTTGGCCTAAATGCAATCATCAACAACTCTAAATATGATAATCATGGTAAATTATTTTTGATGCATTTCACTGGAGCAAAGCATCATGTTTAAAGTGCCAAATGTGTGATTGCCTTACCTTTTGTAGTTGGTGGCCATTTATCTTGGGCTAGTGTTTTTTTTTTTTCATGCAGTTCGGTGTGATTATGTTAACCATAGGTGAATGGATCAATTTTATATATGCATGGACACTATTTACATGCTGCTTGTATAGGTGAAAATGAGCTGATTATTGACTGACTGTATTTTGCAGATGTGGTTGCTATTGTTGGAGGTTGGCTACTGTGAAACACAAATTATTAGTTTTGTCTGGAAAGGGAGGTGTTGGAAAGAGCACATTCTCAGCCCAACTCTCGTTTGCCCTGGCTGAAATGGACCATCAGGTTGGCCTTCTGGACATAGATATATGTGGGCCCTAGCATCCCAAAAATGTTAGGCCTTGAGGGACAAGATATTCATCAAAGCAACCTTGGTTGGTCGCCTGTGTATGTTGAGTCCAACCTTGGTGTGATGTCGATTGGTTTCATGCTGCGTAATCCAGATGATGCTGTCATATGGAGGGGTCCTCGCAAGAATGGACTGATCAAGCAGTTCTTAAAGGATGTCGACTCGGGGGAGATTGACTATCTCGTAGTGGACGCTCCTCCAGGAACATCTGATGAGCACATCTCGATCGTGCAATACCTGCAAGCCACAGGAATCGATGGTGCGATAATTGTCACGACTCCACAACAGGTCTCTCTGATTGATGTGAGGAAGGAGATAAACTTCTGCAAGAAGGTTGGTGTCCCTGTCCTAGGTGTTGTGGAGAACATGAGTGGCCTGAGGCAGCCGCTTTCAGATCTCAGATTCGTCAAGCCAGGTGAGGCAGGCGAGACAGATGTGACAGAGTGGGCCCTGAACTATATCAAGGAGAAAGCCCCTGAGCTTCTGTCAGACATGGCCTGCAGTGAGGTGTTTGATAGCAGCAAGGGAGGCGCCGAGAAGATGTGCCATGAAATGGGGGTTCCTTTCCTTGGTAAGGTGCCCATGGATCCGCAGCTGTGCAAGGCGGCCGAGGAAGGGAGGTCATGCTTTACTGATCAGAGATGTAGTGCCAGTGCGCCAGCTCTTCAGAGCATTGTGAAGAAACTGATCAAGACCGAGTGAGAAAATAGTGTCGTCGGCCTGCTGGGAACCTGGTAGTGAGCAATAAGATGAAATGGCAGATGCTAGAGTTCTTATTATTAATATGTTTGTTACTGTGTTAGTGTGTTACACACTAAATCTGTATTAGTGCTAGTATTGGATCTGTAAGTTTCTGATCGTTGTTCGTGAATAATCAGTGTACAAGCTACTTGCTTAATTCTGCTCTACAAATTGAAATATGTTTTGAGGCGCCGTCTGAATGATGCGTGAATGCTTTGTACTGTACATACCAGAACTGAATGAGTGGATGGTGTCTGGCAACGCTTCTTTGCTCTCGTAGCCTATCACATGGACATGGTATGTGTTGGACGTTGCATGTGTTTCGTTAGCAACATGTTTGTAATTTATCCGATACTCGGGCTGACGGGTAAAAACTGATGATTCGTGGCAACGTCTCGGAGCTATTCTTGCAAAAACCGATGACTGATGGTTCACGAACACATACCCAACTCTTCGGCCATGTTCTTCATGCAAACTTATGACAAGCAGTGAGCTTATGGCACATAAGCGCGTGTATACGCACTTTTCGATCCTGTGATCTGAACTTTAGCCACTAAACTATAGTGCCTCCTTTGGAATATAGGAAAGCAAAATCGTAGAAATAGAAAAAACATAGGAATATTATAAAATGCAGTTGCAAAATAGAGGATTAGAAAACATAGGAATTTTGAAGGAGTGGTCATTTGGACAGGTCGTAGGAAAAATGTAGGATTTTTACCAAGAGGTTTGAGTGGATGTTTGTAGTTTTCCTCTAAAACAACGGTCAAAGGAAAATTTCATGCACTATTCCTGTACTCATTCCTATGTACCAAAGGCATGAACAGTAGCAATTCCTATACAATTTCCAATCCTAGGCCTTTGTTTAGATGATGGTTGGAAATCAGTATTTGGCACTGTAGCACTTTCGTTTGTATTTGACAATTATTGTTCAATCATGGTCTAACTAGGCTCAAAAGATTCGTCTCGTAATTTACAATCAAACTGTGTAATTAGTTATTTTTTTATCTACATTTAATACTCCATGCATGTGTCCAAAGATTTGATGTGATGGAGAGAGAGTGAAAAAACTTGGAATCTAAACAAGGCCCTATATTTTTCCTCTATTTTTCCTATGAACCAAAAAAAAAAGAGGCCTATACCACTTTAACTCTTGAGGCTCCAAACAAGTAGTCTATAGTGTTGTCTAAAGTTTTACTCATAAAAACTTTAGACAACACAAGTAAGCTAAAGTGGTCAAGTTTTAGTCCTCAATTTTAACCGACTAAATTTTAGACTGAAGAATTCAAGCAGACCCTAGAGTCATCCTTAAAAAAAATACTGTCAAGAGACTCAAGACTCAAACTCAACAATAAGATCTCATGAATGCTTTACGTCAACTCATTGTGGAGTGTTTCACTAGAGTTACGGACGAGCCCTGAGATTTCTCTAACTCGGCCCATACAAATTGCCAAATGGGTTTAAGCGGTTAAGCCCGTCAAATAAGACCCAAACAAATATGTACTCATCCGTACGAGATATGATAGGAAGGTTTCCCCATCCTCCACTCTCCACTGTGCTGCACCTCTCCGGGTTCGTGACAGTTCAGCTTGACGAGACAAAAGGGGAACAAAAAGTGCTCCTCCTACCTCCAGTGATGTCAGCGCCACCGCCGGCCGGCGGCGGCGGCGCCCTCATCAACGAGGTCCTCACCGACGACGAGCTGCGCGCGGTGCTCACGCGGCTGGGCCCCGAGGCGGAGCGGGACGCGTTCGGGCTCGTGTGCCGCCGCTGGCTCCGGATCCAGAGCTCCGAGCGCCGGCGCCTGCGCGCGCGCGCCGGCCCGGACATGCTGCGCCGCCTCGCCGCGCGGTTCCCTGGGGCCCTGGAGCTCGACCTCTCCCAGTCGCCCTCCCGCTCCTTCTACCCCGGGGTCATCGACGACGACCTCAGCGTCATCGCCGGCAGCTTCCGCAACCTGCGCGTCCTCGCGCTGCAGAATTGCAAAGGTGCGGCCGTCTCTTCTTCTCGCGCTACCCATATGTGCTGCTTGTCAATTTGGTGGATGGCATTACTATCTTTATCTTCCTGGTGGACATGACAATTGTACTGCATTTTCGAGTATTCCGTCAGAGACTGATTCAATCCTACTCTAAGAATGTTAGCCTCACGGTATTCCGTCAGGGACTGATTCAATTCTACAATAAGAATGTTAGTCTCACGTACCATTGGATAAATACTTGTACTCTATTTTGCAGTCTTGATTATATCTATTTCAAGTCCATATTCTAATCTGGGAGATGTTGGAGTTTCTTTGTGAGGTCCTTCAGTTTGTGAATGAACTTTCTTGTCTTTGTGAAGGTGAATCCTGTTTGTACTACTTTTAAAGCTTAGGGGTAAGTTTATAACCTTATATGTTATAAACCATTTTATCAAGCTTTTTTCGAGAAAAAAATGAACCACACATCTTTGATGATGAATTTGCACTGGCCTGTGACGGTTCATTTCATCCTTCGGATAACGTGAAGCTGTGTTCATTTTCTGAAATTAGAGTGTGAGTTTTCTCATTACTGTTAAAATAAAGATAATTATAAGAAAAATGGAAAAAAGTTATGTGCAAACCTTTTTTTTGCATCTGGAACAGTTCCGTATTCCATATGTACCGTTTTCAAAGATATTTGCCTCATCTTTCAATTTATTTCAGATACCCTATTTTTTACAGCTTTGATATTATTTGTGTAGCAGTTTTAGTTACCCAAGTTATGGTGATATGGTCTCCTGAACAATTCCTGTTAACAGATCTTTCGTGGGGGTCATGGTTTTTTTCTTACAGTGGCTGATATTACTAATTTACTATCCTTTAGAGTTATTATTGTTGGGGACATTGTGGGTCTTTGTTTTAGTGCACTGATTTTGGTGATAATGTCCTTAAATAAATTCTGTTGATTATTAGACTTGCCCTGGTTCATGTGTCTCGCAGGTATCTCTGATGTCGGAGTTGCCAGATTGGGAGATGGACTGCCATCTCTGCAGTCCCTTGATGTTTCTCGCTGCATAAAGCTGAGTGACAAAGGTTTGAAGGCGGTTGCACTAGGGTGCAAAAAATTGAGTCAGCTGCAAATCACGGGTTGCAGATTAATAACAGATAATTTATTGACTGCTCTATCAAAGTGCTGCCTACAGTTGATAGAACTTGGAGCTGCGGGATGTAACAGAATAACAGATGCTGGTATATCTGCTCTGGCTGATGGCTGTCATCACATAAAAACACTAGACATAAGCAAATGCAATAAAGTTAGTGATCCTGGAGTCTGTAAGATCGCTGAGGTTTCTTCATCATGCTTGGTGTCAATAAAGTTATTGGACTGCAGCAATGTGGGAGATAAGTCCATCTATTCGTTAGCTAAGTTCTGCCGTAGCCTAGAGACTCTTGTCATTGGTGGATGTCGGAACATTAGCGATGCTTCCATACAAGCACTTGCTCTTGCCTGCTCCAGCAGCTTACAGAGCCTGAGAATGGATTGGTGCTTGAAAATAACAGACACATCATTGCAGAGCCTGCTGTCTAACTGTAAACTTCTTGTGGCTATTGATGTCGGATGTTGTGACCAGATAACCGACGATGCATTCCTGGACGGAGAAGGATATGGGTTTCAGTCTGAACTGAGAGTTTTGAAGATCAGCAGCTGTGTTCGGCTCACAGTTGCAGGGGTCAGCAGAGTGATTGAATCCTTCAAGGCTCTCGAGTACTTGGATGTTCGGTCATGTCCGCAGGTTACAAAGGACAGCTGCGAGCAAGCTGGAGTGCAGTTTCCTGCTGGCTGTAAGGTGAATTTCGATGGCAATTTGCTGGAATCTGATCCATCTGCTGAGAGGTTCTTCTAGAATAAACTGTGATCTCGGTTGAAATCAAACTTAATGTGAACTGCAAAATTAAGATTTGAAGAGCTCGGTCATGTAGGTGAGTGGTTGACATTGCTGTTTATCTTTCAACGTCAAAACCTATGCAAGAAACGGAGACCACAACGGATGCAAATCATGATCATATTCAGTACCCAATTCAATATTCATGTGATTTAATCTGTAGAAAGTAGCGCCAAAGACCATGAAATAAGTTGTCTGATCAAAGAACGTATATGCATTATGTATTGTGCCAATACAGCGGGTGTATTCAAAATGTACATTTAATAGACTGGTTTCAGTGGATTGTACGTAGTTCTGTTTTTATCTGCATTGCTTGTATAGATCTTTGTTTTGGCGCTATGCCAAACAGGGAAATAGTGTTCGGTCTGTTGTCTTGTGTGCTCAAACACTGCTCCCACCTAGAAGAATTGGTGGGATGTAAGCGGCATATTTTACAGTCTTAAGCCCCTCTCTCGTTTGTAATTCAAGAAATAAACATGTATAATACTGAAAAAAACATGTCTGATATACACCATATATTTTATAAAAGCAATACCCCTATCATAGATATGCAAGCTATCCGCTTTAGCGCATTAGCATGCGGTCATGATAGCTATCTCTTCATGCAGGTTATCTGTATTAGCGAGCTGTATCATTAGCCACTAACATGCATTTAGTGTCCACATTATTCACTAACATCCACTTATGATAGTGAACCTTTCATACAAGGTATCCATATCAATGGACCACGAGCCAATAATTTTAGGTCGTCTGATTTTCATTCCAAATTATCTGCCTCGCGACAATGCACGTAACGTCCTTCTAGTATCTTACAAAAGCAAACTCCAATAACTTTCAATCTCTCCATGCAAGTTATCTATGTCGCTCCTCCATTAAATGGTAAAATTGACAATACCATCCCAACTAAGTACAAAAGTTATGCACATTACTAAGTGGGATTGCTATTCTCATTCTATCAACACGCAAGTCATTTCACGTCGTGCTATTTGTTTGGCCATCTAATCCTTCTATAATTCGATATAATATTATGTTAGCCTTTTTATTGGATTCTTTCGTTAGCTTTCCTAGATTTGATCAGGTCCAATGCAATAATTACATCTCTTGCTTATATATTCAACAACTTTATATTTATAATAAAAAAAGTTTTGTCTGTATGGATTTGAGTTCAGAAGCAAGAGACCACTTCGTGTATCTATTTCGATTTCCTACTTTGATAGATAATGGAAGAATTAAAATAAGCAGAACTATTGTTTCTATTCTCATGCAGGGTCATTGATACTTGTACATACCCCCTTGTCCCGGAGCCAGTGGAAAAGGGTAAAATTTTCTAATCCCATGTCCAAGTTAGTCTACCAAAATCTAACCATAGCTAAACAGTGCATTTATCTTGAGTAGTTTGAGCATACTACTACGATCAAAGATCAAGGCTGAAAGTCCGGTGCTTATCGATCAAAGAAGAAGCGATAGGATTCTTACATTTTAGTTGTCCTAATTAACCATATCAATACTGTTTCAGTGTTTTTCCACTCCTTGCTGCCTCTTCGCCTCATTTTTATTATGGGCTTCTTCTTGCTGACATGTACGTAGGCCCGAGTCCAAAACCCTCGAGCCTCAACTGTCAACACTGTCCCGGTAACCTCATCCCCATCCCCATCCCCATCCCCAAGGTTTTCCCCTTCCAATCACCCCTCCGGACCTCTCCCCCTCGCGAGTCGCGGCCTCGCGCCCCCCTCTGCCGAGCGCCTCCTCTTCACAACCGCGGAAGCTCCTCCCTCTCCATTGGACGCGGCCAGCCTCGCTCTGCGTCCCGCGGCCGCCACCGCGACGCCGCCGCCTTCCCTCTACCCCCACGGCCGCCGGCCTCTCCAAGGTCTGCACACGGTATGCCTTCTCTGCTCAGGTTCCTAGGTGATATTCTGTGTTAGATATTGGGGGTTTCCAACATGAAATTGTTGTGTTGTATTTTTTTTTTCAAAAAGGAATTATTGTGTTGTCGATTTCGGTATGACAAGTGTCTATGCCGTCTCCATGCAAGTACACACTACACAGGTACCGCGTCGGACAGTCAGAACTTTGGTTGCCCGTCTAATAGCTACCGGCGGGTGTTATATTCCTTTAGTTGTTTACCTTCGGTAGGCCATTGGACTCGGGTCGATCATTCTTGTTTAATTTGGGCGCAATCGAGGAAATCTGTAATTTGATTTAGTTTTAGTAATAAAGGGCGTACCCAGAGCTCCCGCCCTATGCGGTGTCTGGGGAAGGGTGTCAGTGCAAGCCTTACCCTCGTTTGTGCAATCCGAGGAGACCGCGAATCGAACCCGGGACGTTCCGGTCATAGGCGGTAAGACTCTACCGCTTGCACCAGGCCCGCCCTTCTGATTTAGTTTTAGTAAGTGTACCAAAATGCTGTCTATTTCTGATTTTTTTTCTCTCTACTATGATTTTGTGCGGGAAGAACAAAATGTCTTTCAGTTCCTGGAAGCAAATAGAGCCTGATAAGTGATAAGCAGAAAGAGCTGGTAGTGAAGTCTGCATTAGCTTGAATTCTGCATATATTTCTTATGTAATGATAGAAAGATGTTAACCAAGGAAATGCAGTTATTTTTTTAGATTAAGAAAGAAATGCAATTGTATACTTATTTCTTCCTTTCGTTTAGAGTTTGCTTAGCTCTTGCATAATCTTATCTTCCACAGATTCAGATTATTTGGTTAATATGATGTTCAGTGTTACTCTGTGCTATTTAGCGATACTGAGCTTAAATTTTGTACTGTAATTATGTTATCTAATTCCAAATATACCATATTTGTCAAATTCACATTATTAACATCTTGATATCTACTCAATCCATCCCAAATTGTAAGACGTTTGACTTTTTTTACACCAAGTTTGACCACTCGTCTTATTCAAAAATTTGTGTAAAATATCACTTCTTTCGTTGTGGTTTGATTTATTAATAAAAATTCTTCAAGAATAACTTAAATTTGACTATATTTGCACAAATTTTTTAAATAAGACGAGTGGTCAAACTTGAGGCAAAAAAAGTCAAATGTCTTACAATTTGGGATGGAGGGAGTACTAGTCATGGATATCAAGACCATTAAACCAGCAGTGGTACATGTATAATATTTTCCGTCTAGGTATTCACTCTGTTTTGTCTAACTTCTAAGTCTTCTTTCGATCCCAACTTAGCTAATATGTTTATGTTATTATTTACGCAGGCACAAGAGCACCTTTGCTGTAAACTTATAACAGGTCTGAAGGAAAGAATAATTTTGGTGCTGTGATTGATTTCACTGTGAGGAGTGAAATGAGGCTAAGTATTGGGCAAGTCCATCGAAATGTTCTTGCGCTGGCATCTTCCCGGTCATGTTTTGTTCTGGGAGATCGTCTTTCGTTCAGGATGCTGTCACAACCACGGGTAGCTGGATTTCATCAGACTGCTTGGCGTGGTAGTCAAATTTTAGAAGATAGCAGGGGAGGACCATTAACTCTTGCTAGCCTAGAAGTGCAAAGCAGGGTTGGATATGGGAAGAAGGAAAAAATGGCACGAACTGGAGGTCCAAAGCCAAGTTCAAGAGCTTCTTCCCTCAATGTGAAACCAAAGGTTTCTTCGAATGTCAAACCAGCAAAGAGTTCCTTGATGAAGTCAGCTGGGATAAAGAAGACACTGAAGGTAGATGAGGCTCTGTTTTCGGCCAAGTCATTTGAAGAGCTTGGTTTGCCACCTTTGCTTGTTGACCAGTTGAACAAGGAAGGTCTGACTGCCCCAACTGAGGTCCAATCCGCTGCTATTCCTATAATAGCACAAAAGCATGATGTGGTGATCCAATCATATACTGGCTCAGGGAAAACTCTTGCTTATCTTCTTCCAATTCTTTCTGAGATAGGCCCCCTGAAGAGGACTATGGAACAAGATAATTCTGAGAAAAGATCAGGTGTAGAAGCAGTTATTGTTGCTCCTTCCAGAGAATTAGGAATGCAGATTGTGCGAGAAGTGGAGAAGATTTTGGGTCCTAGTGATAAAAGACTGGTCCAGCAACTTGTTGGCGGAGCTAATCGTTCCAGGCAAGAAGAAGCATTGAAGAAGAACAAGCCAATCATTGTTGTTGGAACACCTGGCCGTATTTCCGAAATTTCAGCAGCAGGTAAGCTACACACCCATGGCTGCCGTTTTCTTGTACTGGATGAAGTCGACCAGCTTTTGTCTTTTAATTACCGTGAAGATATGCATAGAATTTTGGAGCATGTTGGAAGGAGATCTGGTGCCACATCTAGGGATGTTCTTGGCCCACTTGCTAGGCGATCTGAGCGTCGGACTATCTTGGTTTCTGCAACAATACCATTTTCAGTTATACGAGCAGCAAGGAGTTGGGGTCATGATCCAGTTCTCATTAGAGCTAAGAGTGTAGTTCCACTTGATTCAATCACTGTCCCAAGACCTGCGTTATCCCAAAGTGATGCTAACCCCACCTCTCCATCACAGTCAGTGAACCAAGCTGCTGTTGGCAGTTTGCCACCATCTTTGGAACACTACTATTGTACAGCCAAGGCGCAACACAAGGTTGACACATTACGGAGATGCATCCATGCCTTGGAAGCACAGACAGTGATTGCATTTATGAACAACACCAAGCCACTGAAGGATGTTGTATTTAAGTTGGAGGCCCGCGGTATCAAAGCCACTGAGCTACATGGAGATCTTGGAAAGCTTGCAAGGTCTACAGTTTTGAAAAAGTTCAAGGATGGTGAATTCAGAGTTCTCGTTACAAATGAGCTGTCTGCCAGAGGGCTGGACGTGCCAGAATGTGACCTTGTGGTTAATCTGGACCTTCCAACTGACTCCACACATTATGCCCACAGAGCTGGGAGAACTGGACGTCTTGGGAGGAAAGGGATTGTGGTTACAATATGCGAAGAAAACGAGGGATTTGTTGTAAGAAAAATGCGCAAGCAGTTAGCTGTGGCCATCAAGCCATGCGAGTTCACTGAAGGCGAGCTTGTTGTTCACAAGGAGGAAGATGTGGAATAAAATCCTCATAGTGCACATGACTACTTCTGTTTACCTGTAGTGTTTTGTAATAGTATCGCACTTTAAAATGCTTTGCTTGTCCTGCTGAGTTTTCACATTGCCTGGGTTAAAGTATTTGAAACACCAGGTGCAACCAAGTCTTAGGCTCACCCTTGCAGAGGGATTCCTGGCAACACATGTCTTGTGGTTTACTGGTTTCTATTTTGAAGATTTGAACCGACCGTACAATTTCAGGTCTCTGAGTTTATATCTACTGAAAACTATCATCAGTTGACCAGCTCCTGGAACTGCTGGTCATGTCTTGTTAATTCCCGCATCATGAAATTGTTGTCGTTATGTATTCCCAAAGCATTTCATTTGATTATGGCATGTAGACTTCAATATTTCGTTAATGTGTTGTTTGTGATCTTCCAACCTTTACATGTCGAATAAAACCTTTGTTAACTTAAACCAAGGGATGCCCCTATAGCTCAGTGGTAGAGCGTCAGTCTTGTAAACTGAAGGTCTGTAGTTCGATCCTGCATGGGGGCAAAGTTTTTTCTTTTTTTCGAAATTTCAAATGTTTTGGTAAGTTTTTTTTTAAAAAAAATACATGTTTGGAATTGGCCCTCTGCATGCCAACGCCTGATGAATCCCGATTTTAGTGCAAGTGTGCAACAGTAGCCGCCTGGTAAGTTTTTTTTTTTAAAAAAAATACATGTTTGGAATTGGCCCTCTGCATGCCAACGCCGGATGAATCCCGATTTTAGTGCAAGTGTGCAACAGTAGCCGCCGGTACGTGACAAGCGACATGGCTGGTCGAAACGCAAATCGAAGTCCACATAGCAAACGTTTGCAGGTAAACCAGCTCTGCAGTCCGTAACACAGTGCTCACACAGACCTTTTTCAGTTGGTGCAATGGACCTTTGGTGACCGGCCTCCATCTTTGCGACTTTTTCAGTCTGTCTGAGCTCCATAAGGCGATAGCTGTTCGTACCAAAGGGCAGCTGTGGCAACATCATCATACTGCAAATCTGCAATCCTGCTCATGGTCATGGTTTCTCTAGCAGCAGTAGCAATCGAAAGCACTGTTTCCATCAGTCTTGCAGCCTTGAGAAAAGCCTGCACTCATGCGCTCTCAAGTGATGCATTTCCTCTGAGAAAAAGGCGCCCCAGCGGACCAAACAACAGTAGTTGTCATCTGGAAATCATGAGCATGGTGACAGGCAGCCTGTTCGTTTCGTCGTAAACGATCGTGAATTATTTACTGCTGGCTGGTTTGATGTGAGAGAAAAATACTATTCCAGCTTATAATCCACGATCGTATACGAGCAAGCGAACATGATTAGTGATGTAGAAACATCGTTATTAACATTAGGAGATTCCATGAGAAGAATCCGTACTAGTATATTCGCAGTTTCTGCAGAGAAAGTACAGTTGAACTTAAATCCTTTCCATCCACCAATAATCCATGCTTAAATTGTTTTATCAACAATATGTTTTTCCTTTCCTTTATTTTTTTTGGGGGTTCAGCTGTACTGGTTTTTCACTGTAGACTAAGATGTGATAAAAACCTATCCGAAACAGGATCCTTATTGATTGTCAGAATCAAAATGCCAGGGGGATGGGCATACATCTAATCATGAACAGGATCCTTGTTTAAATCCAGGGTAACGAGGGTGTCGTATGGGGGTGTTGGGATAATAATAAAAAAATAAATTACAGAATTCGTCAGTAATCCGCAAAACAAATTTATTAAGTCTAATTAATTCGTCATTAGCACATATATTACTATAGCACAATATTGTCAAATCATGGACTAATTAGACTTAAAAGATTTATCTCGTAAATTAGTCACAAACTATACAATTAGTTATTTTTTAGTCTATATTTAATACTCTATGGATGTGTTCAAATATTCGATGGGATAAGAAGTAACTTTAGGGGAAGAAACTAAACAATGCCTCACCACCACAAAATATTCAGCTAGCTCGACAAATGCTGCCAGAAACACAGAAATCTTTTCAGATGATCACATGACCAATAAAGAAACAACGAATTCCCATAACCACAAAGAAAAAAAATAAGCCTCGCATCTGACATGATTGACATGCCCATTAGTCATCAAAAAAAGTTGAAATAAATTCTCAACTCCAGTCTATTCCGAATACCAGATCTTCATAAGAGCAGCATGCCAATGTCATTGTTTTGGCAATCAGTTCATGGTTACATGATACTGCTATATAACAGACTTATTTCGAAACATAGGACAGTGCTTATTCGACATTATTATACAATCAAGATCCTAACTCTTTCGGGGTTTTTGCAACAATGGAGACAGCATGGAGACCTGAGCTAAGCTCATCACTCAGTAGATCATACACCATCCTGTGACGCTTCACAAGGTTCTGCCCCTCAAATTTTGGTGAAACTACCTTGATGTTGAAGTGCGTCTCGTTTGCATTGTCCTTGACAGCTGCATGCCCGGCATGCTGGTAAGAAACATCTTCAATATCTAGGGCACTGGCCTCCAAGGCAGACTGCAGTTTTTGCCTCATCCGAGCAGCTCTTGAAAGCACGGCGCTGGTACCTCGTGAAGCCATCATCCGTGTAGTCAGTCTCGCAGCCCAAACAATTATGCCTGGTAGTAGCATTTACAGGTCATGCAAGATAATGACAATAACAAGAAGGTAGACATAATCAGTATAAAGTGAAGAGAGGAATAAGCGCTAAACTTATCTCAGAATTCACCCTAAACGCAGTTGTGGATCAAAAGAAAGCATCAAGGCCATAATAATAATATCATCTAAACGAGAACAACGCTTTCAGCCTAAACTAATTTCAAATGCCTGTTGCCTCATTTATTCATAAGCCGTTAATAAGCGTGATGCAAATTCCACATATTGGGGCATGTGAAATGCAAAGGCTCTTAGAGAGTCCCTTAGACACGGAGAATCATGGAAAATTCATATAAGGAGCCTCATCCTCCGGTGCACACTAAACAGTTCTGCATCAATATAATGATATTTAAATAAATGAGTCTGTCTAGCCAGCAACCATGGTCCCGTTCGCTGGTCTGAACTTTGGCTGAAACTGACTGAAAAACACTGTTTCCGGCTGAATTGTTGTGAGAGAAAAACACTGTTTCGGCTGAAAAAATAAGCCGAACAAGCCAAATTTAAGACAAGCGAACGGGGCCCATGTGTTTTATATAATTTCAACACATAATTTTTTTTGCACCATAGAATTAAGATCCAACAGCCTCGACCCTTTTTCTACCTCTAGCCTCCAGCCTTCTTCTATCTCTAGACAATCATAAGATCACAGATCCACGGATCATGAGAAATAATTTTTTTTTATAAAAGGACAAATCACATCGGAGGAGGAGGAGAGGCTACTGGAGCATCACCGCGTACAGGCACAGCACCACCGTACCCACCTGAAAACCTCCGATGGAAAGCCCGCCCGTTTTCAACTGCGTGCCGTACGTGTCTGCGTGACGGGATAACGTGCACGCGACCACGCGCGAGAGCAATCGCCGCGGATACGAAGGGAAAAGGAGAGAGAAAAATCTATGTTTTTTTTTCACTGAAACACACGTGTGTTGTATAGCACTTCTGTAAATAATTAAGCTAAGCACTGTTCCCTGCCGTATGTATGTTTGAACCCACGTTCTTAATAGTTAATATAATGAATTAACGATACACTGCTCTCCCGCGTATTCAAGAAAAAAATGTTTCAACTTCATTGTACATGGCCTTATGATCCCCAAGCTACAAAGATAGATTCATTGATGAGCTAAATCAAAGAAAACAAACACTGCATCTTGTCCTGGCCTATACAGTACCCACTACCCACCCATATTCCAGTGCAGATCTGTGAACAGCCTGAGTTCGTTCCTGAAACGTCCAACTCAGTGGGCCTGTTCTACTGGAAGGTTCAATTCGGTTATTACCCCTTCTTCATAAGCAGGAAAAGAATCTAGTCTTCCGAATCAGACAGTTTTTATCGAGCTAGCAGCTAAATTAAACCCTCACTTACAAAATCAAACGAACGGGATCCAAAGTTCCGAATAGAAACAGTGCTTCGACGTTCCTGACCAAGAATCCTAATTGTTCCTCATCCTTGCTAACGAAGAACAGATCAAATCCATCCATATATTGTAATAATATTGAATCAGGGATTCAGGGTGGAACAGAACGAATCATAAGAGGGAATAGTTAGGGCTTACGTTGAAACCCGAAACCGTGGTGTCTTGCGGCGATCTGAGCTCCGTAACGGCGGCTGGGCTGCAGAAACCCTGGATAGAAAAAGGAATCTGAATTCTGAACGCTGAGACCGGGCCCCCAAAAAAAAAAAAACTTTTGCGGTGAGCGTGGATCGAACACGCGACCTTCAGATCTTCAGTCTGACGCTCTCCCAACTGAGCTATCCCCGCTTGTTGGTTTTCACAACAGTACCTAGCCTAGTCGAACTTTTATCTGTTATCTAGCTGACCAATATCAGCACGCGCCAGTTGCTTATCCACTCACCACTGCCGCGCGCAGGCACAGGTGCAGTTCATAAAGGCACGGCACAGCACAGACGCTGAGACGCAGGGGCACGGCGCTCCAAGTTTCCAACAGCGCAATTGCATGCGCCCAGGAAGGCAGGAAACCACGCGGGCAGCTCTAGCTCGACAGCTCGTCGAACGAAACGAACCGCGCGCCCCGCCGCGCCGATCAATGCACAAACACAAGACACTCAAATTCAGGAGTCAGGAGTATAACCCGATCGAGGGTGTGGCAAAGGACGGAGCGTACTGGCTGGCCAGGCCAGTGGGCACGCTTTTCGCCAGAGGGCATCGTGCATCCCAATTGGCAAATGGACAATAACGCAGAGCGGCAGCAGGTGTGGGCCCGCCGCGCCCGCGCGCGCGCGCCAGCCAGGGCGCGCAAGGACGAGCGTACGGGCGCGCGCCAGCGCGAACCTGACGAGACTTGGCATCGTGCTCTGGGTCTCTGGCATGTCAAGGACCGCACGGGCCGGCCGGGGGCTCAGACTCAAGTCACGCGCGCTCGGCGCTCCTACGCTTTCGCTTGGTTACATGCTCATGCTGCGCACCGGCACCACCGCGTCGGCCGGGGAGAATTTTTATTTTTTTAATCATTTTTTATTCAATATTTTAATAATAGCCGCTTCAAAAAAAAATTCACATCGAACCCTTTTGGTCGCGTCGCGCCAGTCCCGCTAGCTCGACCAAACAACACTGTCACGCCAACGCATATGGCGCAACAACATCTGTCATGTTGGACCGCGTTTTCGGCGTGGAAAAGCTTGTCGTGCCAATCCAGGTGGCGTGACAATATTGTTTTGTCGCGCCACCGGGAGTGGCGTGACAAGGCTGAATTTTTGAAAAATCATAACTCTTTAATACGACGTGGATGAAGATGATTTTTATATGAAAATTGTAGATCTCGACGAGATCCAGAACTTTCTAGTTTTGAGTTTTTCATTTGAGAACGTTAAGATGCTCAAAAAATAATATAAAATTTCAGCACCATAATAATCGCGTACCAGCGCACTTGCCGCATTTAAAAAATAATATCATTTTTATATGGTCTCAAATGAAGATATATTTTATATCAAAGTTGTAGCCCTTAGTGAGATTTACAAGTTTATAGTTTTGAGTTTTAATATTTAAGGTTGTTAACATACTCTAATAACTAATATAAAGTTTTACCAGCATATTAATCGTGTACCAAAGCTTATCTTTTAGAAAAATCGTATATTTCTTATTTGATATCACATAAAAATACTTTTTAAATGAAAGATATACATCTCATTGAAAGCTCCAATTTTGATATAAAAAGTACCTTCATTTAACACGATATAAAAACGATATTATTTTTGACAAGCGCTAGTACGTGATTATTATGGTACTAAAATTTTATATTATTTTTTTGAGCATCTTATTGACTCAAAATGTTAAAACTCAAAACTACAAAGTTATAGATATCATTGAGAAATACAACTTTTATGTAAAAAATATCTTCATTTTGACAACATACAAAAAAGATATTATTTTTCTAATATGACAAGTATTAGTACGCGGTTATTATGCTCCTGAAATTTTATATTATTTTTTGAAGCATCTTAACAACTCTAAATGTTAAAACTCAAAATTATAAAGTTGTAGATCTCATTGAGAGATACAACTTTCATATAAAAAGTATCTTCATTTGACAACATATCAAAAAGATATTATTTTTCTAATACGACAAGTATGAGTACACGGTTGTTATAGCTATGAATTTTTATATTATTTTTTTGAGCATATTAACGTCCTCAAATGAAAAAACTCAAAACTACAAAGTTGTAGATCTCACTGATAGCTACAATTTTCATATAAATTTTATCTTCATCCGACATCGTATCAAAGAGTTATAATTTTTTAATGTTTTGTCTTGTCACACCACTCCCGGTGGCGTGACGGAATAATACTGTCACGCCAGCGGGAGTGGTGTGACAACGTTTTTCACGTCGAAAACACCATCTAACGTGGTGGATATTGCCACGCCATTGCATACGATGCTGGCGCGACCAAAACAGTTAGACTCGTAATTTTTTTGGAGCGATTATTATTAAAATGTTGAATAAAAAGGATTAAAAATAAATAAAAAAATCTGTCGGCTGGCTGGCTACGAGTCGAGGTCCTCCAGGACCAGGCCGGCCGGCTCCGCCTGGGCACGGAGCAGACAGGCGACCGGTGAACAGGAGGCTGCACTGTTCTGAAGGCAGGGTCCATGTGATTGCTCCTATCCTAGCGTCCGGACCTGTAAAACCGCGCGTGCACTCCCACTCGAAGCTACTACTAGCCTAGCCTGCGCCGATGACCGAAGCACTGAGTAGATGGGAGTACACACGAAGCCGGAGCCAGGCGTGGCCAGCGCCACCGTACCTAGCTGTGTACCGGTGCCGGTATGATTTTAAGGACCCTCCACCGTAACGGCTCCTGTTTAGCACGAATAAAATCTTATAATATATAGATATTAATTTTACTTATAAAATAAAAACAAATTTAATAACATATTTTTAATTTAACATGTCTGATAATTATCGATGAACAATGTAGATTAAGCAATATATTTATAGATGTATAATAATTATCGAGAAATAATGTAGATTAAAAAACAATATATTCGTTTTCTTTTCTCACAAATGACAAATGTTTTTTAGGTAACATTATAAAATTCTAACACCTAAATTAGAAGAAAAAATGACTATATGGGTACAAAGTACTATAAGTCTGGAATACTATACAAATAATTAATTTGGATTAAAAAAAAAAAAAAACCTTGGACCTAAACAACTGATCGGTGATAGCAATTCGTAAGAAGCTCGGAAATCAAGATGTCGTTGTCGTGGAGCCCTACCTAGTCGTCGTCCTCGTGCGTCGTGTCCGTGTCTCCTAAGTCTAGCTCTTTGTGGCGACGCGGTTCGCCAGCTCCGCGTGTGTAAGGCGCATGTCGCGAACTCACGATCAGCGTGTGCTGTGTGCAGCGTGACTCCTCGCCTCCTCTTTACCCGAGGGCCGTGGGGAAAGAAAACTAGGAAAGAAATATCGATGTTGTCTTTTTGGACCGTCTAACCAGTTCTAGGTCTCTCTTCTCATTAGTTTGCTAATGCCTAATAAACTATAAGATAGGATTTGTATATCTGAGACTTGGACCCCTCCCCTCGGCCGTCGCTCCTCGTGTCCTACCCTAGCGCCGGCACTGCTGTGTACGGGCCGGCAGGAGTACGTGACTAGCTGCTGCGTGTCATGTACGTCGGCGACTGGCCTGGCAGGTATGGCCAGCAACAGCCATGTAGCACGCATCGCACTTATTGGCGTCGTCCATCCTCTCGCCATTTGACCCATTTTTCGCTTCGAGACCTTCCTCGTCCCTGTTTAGTTTCTAAAATTTTGCAAATTTTTTTAAAATTTTCTATCACATCGAATCTTTGACGCATGTATGAAGCATTAAATATAAATAAAAAATAAAACTAATTACACAGTTTAGACGAAATTCACGAGATGAATCTTTTAAACCTAATTAAACTATGATCAGACACTAATAACCAAATAACAACAAAATGCTACAGTACCCTTTAAAAAAATCGCCAACTAAACAGGCCCAGGTTCCGTTGCTCATCGTCTTCCTGCGAAGCAAGTAGTAGTAGCGACCAGTCCAGTCGGTTCACATGACGACGCCGAGGCATGTTACCCTAGGTACGGTTTACACACTCTAGGCCACGCCAAGTCAACCAGACTTCTGCCGCAAGCACGGCACGGCATGGCATCTCACATCTGGTACGTGTACACATGCGTGCTACGCTGCACGAGATGATGGCTCGACAAGGGTAGGGCATGTTTACAGTTTGGAGCCCCGAGAGAAGTTGCGTCCAGCTTTGAGCCTTTGAGCTTTGACACGCATCGGGACATCGGTTCGGGGAAACGAAAGTGCAGAGCAGCACAGGCAGACACACAACGGCCTCAACCTTTCAGAGCGCGGCAGCCGGCAGGCGGCGGCAGCGCGACTGTGCGTCGCGCAGGCGCCCGCAGCCTTTTGCCGGGACATCGCTTTCCCCCTCTCCGCAGACGCAGAGACGCAGAGGGAAAGAAAGCGTGGTCTCACGAGGAAAAGCGACCGACGGGCCGCCCGGCGAAAGGGAATTCTTTGATTCTTTCTTTCTTCCTTTCTCACCTCTCCGCAGGCCGGTTATCATTGCTGTAATCTGCTCATCTGCAGCTAGCCTAGCCTGCCCTCCTGGATTGATGGGCATTGGACATCTGAACGTTTTTCAGATGCCATCGATTCTCGTGCAGTATCATCAGCGTGTCAAAAGAAGTCTAAATTACTCACTCTAATGAGCTTTTTGGTCGGAGTCTTATGATTATCATTGCTTGCTGTCGAATAGAGAATTTCATCGCTAGCTGACTATGACAATAAGAAATGACCTGACCGCAAAAGAATATGAGCTTTATGATTATATATGCTTGTACTACTAAATGACTTCTCAGGCTGATACAGACAAGATACTAACTGAAACAAGTTGCATGGAATCCAAAAGGCGCACAAAACCTAACACAGACGGCAAACCCCCCAACGCGGGCTACTCGATTTAACCCAAATGCAGTAAGATTAAGATCTAAGCAAGAGGACTCGTATTTACATTTAGCACTAAGCACCACAGCAATCTTTCATCAAATCTCGGCCACAAGAGGACTGGTAGAGGGAAGCACAAGAGCACACACAAAAGCAAGAAGAACGTAACGCCTGCCAAGAACACACGGACGGACAAACGATCAATGCGCGAGCGACGGATGTGGTAGTACGTGTCAGAAGCCGTGGCGGAGTCACCGGGTCTCCTCCTCGGCGCGCCTCGCGGCGCCGGAGAGCGCGGCTAGCAGGTTGAGGTGGTGGTGCTGCTGCGCCTGCGCCATGGGGACGTACGCCGCCGCGGCGGCGGCCGCCACCGCCTGCACCTCCAGCGGCGAGAAGCCCCAGGCCTCCGCCGTCGTCCGCGGCGCGGCGGCCGGCAGCGCCGCCCAGAACGCGGACGCGGACGCGGTGCCTATGGCGGCGTCGCCTTCCTCGCGCGGGCGCTTGCCGAGGACGGTGGTGGCCTGCTGCTGCTGCTGGTGGTAGTGGGAGGAGGAAGAGGAGGTGGACGGCGCGGAGGAGGAGACGAAGACGGCCGGGGTGGTGCCGGAGCCCGTGGCGGCCATGATGGAGGGCTCGGCCTGGCGGAGCAGCCACTCGATGGTCTGGCCGTCCGACTTGAGCCCCAGCTCGCGGGTGAGCTGGAACACGCGCGCCGCGCACACGATCGGCATGCGCACGCGCCGCCCGCGCCCGTTCACCTTGCTGTGCCGGTCCTTGCCGCTGCCGCCGCCGCCCTCCTTCTTGACCGGCTTCGTCGCGGGGGCCGCCAGCATGGCGCCGGTGTCGCCCGCCGCCGCCGTGGATGGCATCGGCATCGGCTGGTAGACGTGGAACATGGCGGCGGCGGCGGTGGAGACGTCGCGGGTGGTGGCCATAGCGCCTTCCTTCTGCCTCGTCGTGTTGCGGCACTGGAGACTGAGAGAGAGAGAGGTGGCTGGCGGTGGTGGACCGGTGGGGTTGGAGAGGTTTTTGAGGTGATGGGGGAGAGGGACACACCCGGTAGATTTATAATGGAGTTGATGTAGACTTGGAAAGTTTTATTCCGCGCGTTTTTACCATTTGCAGTGGAATTTCACTGCCTACGCATACGTTCAGCTGAATTTGCTAGTACAGTAATTTTGTAGCCGGTTCACATGTTTCATGCGTGCACCAAAAACAAACCAGTCCGGTAAACAATTGGCCCTGTTCGCCTGAATTTATTAATTTGGCTTATTAGTAATGATATAGTTTTTCTCTTATAATAAATCCATCAATAATACTTTGTATCCTGTCTTTTCAGATCAAACATGTAGCATTTGAGTTTCATTAGCTACAAACACACACTCTGTTCATCAGGGTATATGTATGCATTGCTTGTCTACGTGTATCATTCATTACTAGTTTACCAGTGATGTAAAAAAAATGCTAGTAAGGTCTATTTAGATCACCGCACTAAATTTTAGCCATCTAAGTGTTAATTTTGGACCAACTAAGTGTTAACCATCTAGTTGTTCGTGCCTCTCAAAACAGAACTAAATTTTTGTCACCTAAATTTGAGTAGAACTAATAGCTAGGCCTTGTTCACTTTACAAATTTTTTCAACCCGATAAATAGTACCACTTTCGTCTTATTTGGCAAATATTGTCCAATCGTGGACCAACTAGGCTCAAAAGATTCATCTCGTGATTTCCAACTAAACTGTGTAATTAGTTATTTTTTTACCTACATTTAATACTCCATACAAGCGGCTAAAAATTAATGTGATAGAGAGAGTGTAAAAAAATTTGAAATTTGGATGGGGTCTAAACAAGGCCCTAGTAATCTAGATGGTGTAAACAAGCTATAAGCTAGAGCGAGAAAAAAGGTGAGGCCATGTTTAGATTGCAAAAATTTTAACCCGATGAATAGTAGCACTTTCGTCTTATTTGGTAAATATTGTCCAATCGTGGACCAACTAAGCTCAAAAGATTCATCTCGTGATTTTCAACTAAACTGTGTAATTAGTTATTTTTTTACCTACATTTAATGCTCTATGCAAGCGGCTAAAAATTGATGTGATGAAAAAAAGTGAAAAAAATTAGAATTTGGAGGTGATCTAAACAAGGCCTGAGCATGGAATGGATGGCAGGAAAGTGCAAGGCAGAGGGGTGGAAGAGGACCGGGGTGCAAGGCAGAGGGTGGAAGAGGCCACGGGGTCCAGCAGAGGGAATCTGCAGTCTTTTACAAATAGTGTAGCAGCAGTACCCCTTTAGTTCACCTGCGGTTGGCGCCGCCAGCTACGTGGTAGCTAATCTGGGTCCAATCGGATCTCACTTTGTTGGAATCTGCAGGTTTAATTTACAAATAGTGTAGCTTCTTTTTGCACTGCGTAGCAAGCCTAGATTTTGGATGAATCAAGGGCCTAGCCAAGTAGCAACCATCCATCGTATCACATCGGCATGAGCCGCGGGCGCTCATATAACAAAGCTTATCTTGTACAGTAATGTGTGGTGAAAACAAATCAACTGTGCATGCACAGAAGCCTTGAGCAGGGCGAGATGAGATCCTCCTCTCTGTCTTTCCCGCGCTGACGGGTAGGGATGAAAACGGATCGACCACGTATTAATAATATTACATTTGTTTATATATATATATATTTTTGATTTAGATTCCAATACGGATAGTGTTAACCATGTTGGATAGAATATGATTGGATATCGACATCATAAATATACGATTTGAGTATTTAGATACGAATACAGTATCGAATATTGAATATCCAGACTTAAATACGGACAGATCTAAACACCTCTAAAAGAATTCGATCTCAAATACGGTCGAAAAATATCCGTACCATTTTCATCCGTGCTCATCGACAGCGAGCGATTGACTCGTGGACATGGGACGATGGGGCACACTGCTGGGCGACTGTGGTCTGTGGACAATTCGCCCAAGTCGCCCTACTAAAAAATCGTTATCATGGCCGTGCGTGCGTACAGAACTATAGATGCACCCCCAAGTTGCGCCTGAATGGGCAAGCGCGACGTCGACGGGCGGCACTGTGCCTGCGTGCGCGCGGTGCGATGCTGGTGCCGGTGCCTGTGCTCCGCCCCCGGCTTGGGGTTAGGGGGCTGGGGGCGCACGGGAGACGGGCGAGAGAGGAGGACGGGCCGGAACCGGCACCGCGGGAGCGGGACGGGACGGCTCGGCGCGCGACTTTGCCGACCCAACGCCAACTCATGAGGATTCTTCGTCTCGCCCTCGGCACTCAGGAGGCCGTCGGTCCCGTGTGCTGTGCGCCGGCGTCCGGTCTGGAGGAAATTGGCGATCGCGCGAGGGAATAGGGATGGATGCTTACCTGAACCGTGCATGCATGTTCGCGGCTTCAGCCGCCGGACCAAGCGCATGCTGCCCGGGCAGCGACTGTACGTGATTGTATATAGCAAAGGTACCAAAACCAGTATGGAGGTGATGTATATATATATGGCGAAGGCACCAAAACCAGTATGGAGGCAGCTAGCTTTGGCAAGCGAGGATGCCAAAACCGGATATGGAGGTGGTGGCAATGTGGCGCCTGGCACGATTTTGTGAGAGGTTCTCTATAATTGATTGGTTGACTTGTGCTAGGGCCGCGGGAGCGTTTTTCCGCGGCAAAGCGTGACTGGTTGGGACTGGGGCAGATAGATCGAGATCGTCGACGACGTATACGTGGGTTGAGGAGGAGCATGCAAGCCCCAAGTCCGGTAACATGATGATGACGATGACGATGACCTGTACTGAAAGCGAAGGCGAATGGACGGACCACCAGCCTTCCTAGTTTTGGATATGATCTGCATGTCTCTCATGTCTCCGCGCGCCTCGCCCGCCTATAATTGCATTGCATTGCAGTTGCAGGGAACCCCACCCGCCACCCGGCAACGCCTGCATGGCCTCGGTGGCCATCAAGGGGCATGTCGGCGATCCACGCCTTGCTCCAAACATGTTTACCGCACTCCACATCAATGGACGACAGTGAATAAGCAGGTCGCAGACTAGCAGACGCAAATGTGGGATTCTGAGGCCCGGCCCCATTTCAAACACAGACAAATTTTCTCTGATAACGGTGGGATTCAACTGATTCCCAATTAATTTGCTGCTACATTTCAGTTCAATTTCAGCCTTCCAAGTAGATGCTCCAAATTCCTCAATTCCATACTGCAAGCCGGCCGCCTCCATGACTTGCGTTCATTCAGACAACCACACGGCACACGCCAAGGTATTGGCAGGCAAATCAATCTACACATAATCAGAGGGCACGGGCCATTGTCTCGTCTACGGATCTGGAGGCATGGCCAGGGCCAGGCTAGCTTTGTTCCCATGTGGGATCATCCTAGCATCATAGACATACACACCTGAGTGACCTGACACCTCATCAACTTGTACGAACAATCATCAATTGCTGCTATAACAAGCATGAACACATTCAATCAGAACAAAGAGGCGTGCCACGAAAGAGCCATCACAGTTAGAGTGGAGATCCCCTTTCAAAACCCTACAGATGCAAATTATCCACACAACCTGATTTACTTGCGATACGGTACAACAGCGTACTGCAGAAGCGTATATGGGTCTACGAACTATTCTACAGTAACAGGTCACGGAACATCACGATATTCAGGAGTTGCTAGGGATCACGTTAAAGAAGTGGTAGACTTCATCCTCGTCAAACACCCCGACCTCAGTTGAGCAGACCTCGCAGCAAACAGGGTGGTAGGCTTGCCCCTTGCTTTCACCTTCTGATGCAGTAGTTGGATCAGCAGCCTGCCCTTTGCGGTTCTTCCTTTTGCTCTTGCCCTCTCGCAGGATCTGATCAGTCTTGACCTTGCAGTTGCGAACAAACATTGCGCGGTACTGGTTTACATACTTCGCATGCCTGAACATTAACAAAATCCGCGTTACTGCCTTTGTGAAATAGGTAGGGTTCACGGAGAAGAGAAAGGTTTATATGAAGATTAGCCATCTGAAGCAGAAGGAATCAAGGGGATTGCAGTCACCTAGTTCGCGGGGATCCACGGAGTCTCCAGCCTCCTCTTCCATCGGCTGCTTCGCTGCCTCGGCCTTCTCTGGCTCCATGGCTCCTTGCCGGCGCTGTCTCTCCCAGCTTCAGTGGTTCTTTCCGGTTCCGGCCTCCAGCTCTTTTCTGTTCTGGCCCCCCTTCTCCAATTCGAGGCGCTTCGTCCACCAGACCACCATGGATGGGCTGATACTGGACCGAATGTACACAAAATATTGCGCCGCATCGTCAGCTCTCTTTCAGCCCATTGTTTTTGGAGATTTTTTTTTTGTCAGGAATTGGGCTTTTTTTTAACGTGTTGTCAGGAATTGGGCTGATACTGCAAGCTAAAAACAACTAACAAGGTGACCCGTACCAATAGTGCAAACAGCTAATCTAATGCGCATTAAGATGTCTAGAAGGAAGGATGCCTAGCTCTACTCATTGCCACATGCACCGCTCACCTAATAAATAAATAAACAAAATCAACTACTGTCCGCCTAGCCACGCTCCGCACAGGCCGCCTGCCCAACGAGCTCCTCTCTCTCGTGCTTCCCTCTTGCTCCGCTCTCTCTCTCTCGCTTGCCCACCCCGGCGCGCGCCCTCTCACACCCCGACGTACTCCTCCCCCGCCCCCACGGCTCCATCCACCACCCCGACGGCGCCCCCACCCCGGCGTTCCCACCCATGGGAGCCCCCAATGTTGCAAATCCGATGCCCCTCTCCCCACCCTGGTGAGATCCAAGGAGCACGAGCGAGATCCATAGAGGTGGTGCGGCAATGTTTCAGGGGAGTGGGTGGCTCTCCCCCACCCTAGTGCGGCACCCTCCCCACCCCCGGTGACGCCCTCTCTCACCCGACGACCAAGCTCCCCCCATCCTAGCGCCCATAGCGCTCCTCGCCCCTCATCCCCCGCCATCGCCGTTGAGCCAAGCGCAGTACTGGTGGCGCTAGTGGCGGTGGTGCTCGCGCACAGCCACTCGTTGCCGTCTCTGACCCCGACGACCGGAATCGACCAGCCCAACGGAAAGCCCTAGTTTGGTTTTGGATAATTGATAAAATCTAGGACTAATCTTTGTTCTAAGTGTGTGAATTAGACAAGATGGTCCAATTCAAGTGTTTGAGCAAGATGAGGTCCATGGAGTTGAAGATGGACATGAGATGATGGTGATCAAGCTCAACCTAGAAAAGAAGAAAGAGAAAAACAAAACCAAGGAGATAAAGGCAAAGGTATAAGATATGTTTTGTTTTTGGTGATGAAGACGCTATAGAGACTGTGATCATGTTTAGGATCGATAGCTGTACTATAAAGAGGGGAAATCTTTGGCTAAGCGGTTATCGAGTGCCACTAGGTGATATTGTTCTTGCATATGCATTTAGGAACCTAGTGTGCTAACTTTGATCCTTGTAAAATGCTTTGAAAATGCTAACACACGTGCACACAAGTTCTACACTTTGTGGTTAGCAAGTTGAAAGTAAGGACGAAGTGGTTGCGGACTTAGAAGAAGAAAAAGGAGGAGGCTGTAGTGACCGGACGCTGGCCACATCCTGACAGGACGCTGGCAGCTAAGTTCGATCATTTATAGCGAGTAAGCGCTGACTGGCCGAGAGTGGAGAAGAACGATCGGACGTTGGCCCTGGCTCGATCGGCGCGTCCGGTCACTTGTTGAAAGGTGGCGAGTTCACGCGATCGGACGCGCAGGGGTAGCGTCAGGTGGGCCATGACATACGGTGATGTTAGCTCAGCAGGCGCGTGTGTAGTAGCTAAGTGCTGACCAGACGCTGGTACGCGTCAGGTCGGCGTTGACCTGACGCGTTCGGTCAGTGTTTTCACGCTCAGGAACGTCTCTAGAAACGATCGGACGCTGAGGACTTCTACGTCAGGTGGTGCAAGCGGCGCGTCCGGTCGATCATTAACACGAGAGCGATCAAGACTTGACCGTTGAGATCTAACGCGCGAGGTTTAAAGCTCGGCCACATGGATGGCTATGGACGACCGAACATAGGTGACCAGACGCTAGGGTGCGTCCGGTTAGGCGAGTCCGGTCAGCCCGAGAGTGCCCAACGACTCTTTGAGTCTTGGGGCTCTATAAATAGGAAGGTACCGGCTTAGGACTCACTCTCTTGGCACTTTGACATTCCTAACATCCTTGTGAGCTTAAGCAAATACCTCCCACTCATCTACATAATTGATTCATCATTATAGTGAGATTAGGAGTGATTCCAAGTGCATTTGCTTGAGTGACTACATCTAGCGGCACTTGGGGATCATTGTGGCTATGGATTTTTTGTTACTCTTGGTGGTTGTCGCCACCTATACTGCTTGGAGCAGCGGAGGAGCTTCAGCACGTGTTTGTGATTGTTAGTGGCCGGCTCCATTGATTGTGAGGGGTCTTGCACCTTCCCCGGTGAAGAGCCGTAAGGTAGCTCTAGTAAATTGCTTGTGTCATTGAGTTACCTCACTTGTGGGTAGGTTCTTGAGGTGTCCAATTGTATGGATGAGGTTTGTGCAACACCTCTTAGCCGCCGAACCGCCAAGTGTTGGTCGACACAACGGGGACTAGTGTGCCGGCAAGCACGTGAACCTTAGGAGAAAAATTGTGTCTCTTGCCTATTGGTATTCTCCCAGTGATTGTATTGGCATTCATATTATGATTGGTTCATCCCTCAACACGGCGGTATAAGCTTTCCACTCACTCCTTTACTTACTTGCAAACTAGTTGTAACGAGCTCTTTAGAGTAATTAGTTTTGAGAGCTTGTTTTGCTTGCTAGTTAAGTCCACCTAGTGGAGCTCTTTAATGTAGCAAGTTTGTGAGCTCTTAGTGAGTAGCAACTTAGCCTCTTGTGTGCCTAGTGATCATAGCAACTAGAATTGTTGGGTTGGTGGCTTGTAACCCTTGTAGAGCTAGAGCAAGTTTGCATTTTGCCGTTTGTCATACTAATCAAATTGCTCTAGTAATCTTGTAAATTTTTAAATAGGCTATTCACCCCTCTAGCCATATTAGGACTTTTCAAGTGGTATCAAAGCCGTGGTCACCGTTTGATTGAAGTCTTAACAACCTTGGTGTCAAAAGATGGCTCAAGTCATGTTCAACCATGTGGGGGGGGCAAACCACCGTTCTTTGATGGCACATGCTATGATTATTGGAAGAGAAAGATGAAGATGTATCTTGGTTCAATCAATGACCAAGTGTGGGATGTGACTGAGAGTGACTATGTGATTCTTGATCCGGACAATCTCACCAACACCGACAAGGCCTACAAGCAATGCAATATAATAGCTCTGAACACCATCTACAATACCATTGATTCTAAGGTGTTAGAGCAAATCAAGGATTGTGAGAAAGCTAGTGAAGTGTGGAGGAGATTGGAGGAGACCTATGAGGGTACACCAGCGGTGAAGAGTGTCAAGTTGTACATTATCAAGGACAAGTTGACAAGCTTCAAGATGAAATATGATGAGAGCATTCCGAAGATGTTCTATCGATTGCAAGTGATTGTCAATGACGTGAAGGCATTGAGAGAGGAGATCAATGATGATGATGTATCTCATCGGTTCTTGATGTGCTTACCTCCAAGATTTGAGATGTTGAGATTGCTTATCATAAGAGGAGGATTGAAGAAGATTACCCCTAACCAAGTACTAGGTCATGTCATGACACAAGAGACATACTGTGTGGAAGAGGAGGGGGTCAACAAGGATGACAAGAAGGAAGATGAAGACAAGAAGAAGAAGAGTGTAGCATTCAAGGCTAGCTCATCATCCAAGAACAAGGGTAATGCAAAGAAAGAATCAGGTGATGATGAAGATACTAGTGACATTGATTATGAGGCTATGGCTCTCTTTGTGCGCAAGATGGAGAAATTCATGAAGAAAAAGGGCTATGGTGCAAGAAAGAGAAGAGATCACAACAAGAAGTATGTGAGGAGATGCTACAAGTGCAAGAGCCTAGATCACGTTGTAGCCAATTGTCTCTACAATAGTGACAATGATTGCTGGTATATTTAACGCACACAGATAAATTCGTAAGCGCACGGATACCGCTGTAGCTTTCACCCAGAAGTATTTCAAGTATCGTATCCACAAGGAAATGTGTGAGACTAACTATGATCTAACTTAACTAGTGGTAGCAACAAGGTTGAGATAAATAGGAGCGTAGAGAGAAAAACTAAGGTTCTCTAGTTTCGACTTGGGTAAGCTATGTCTTCAACTATTCAACTGGGGACATTACTAGGGAAAGACACCAGTAGAGGATGCTTTCCTTCGTAATCACATCCTACTTGCGCCTATAGACAGGAGGTGGACTACAAAGGATCAATGAAGCTATATAGTACATGCTATATAGAACTGATGTCACACACGTGATCTACCACCATTCGAAATACATGGTGCATCCACGATTAACCTAAGTCTAAGCACCACGCTTACACTTACGATTAATACTTTAACCTAGAGCGTCTATAGATTAAAGCACTCAAAAGAGAGTCATGATCCTGATGAACAATATAAACAATTACTTACTTGAATTAGAAGTTGATTACCAGAGAAATCTTGAAGGCAAGCTTAAGTAGAATTTGGATCCGCCAAGGTACAAGCCGTAGAGAGAGCACCGACAGGCCGGCACCTCCTCCAAACTCTTCCCTTACTCTCTATCTCACTATTATTTATAACACTAGATCCTATGGAGGACTAATCTTCTCTTGATAACTAGCTTTGATCCTCATGATATGAATTAGGGTTTCAGGATGGCTTTAGGGAGGGTGGCAGGGGCTGGTATATATAGGCCGGAACGTCCAACATGAGTCCTTGGATCAAACTAACTTAAAGGACGGCATAGATCAAGTCAAGCGCTATGTCTCAAGTTCTTTGTTCCACCATTGTTCCAGAGTTTTTATAAGTTTTCAAAATAAAACTCAGAGATTCTATTGTACGATACTCTCAAGTCTCTTAATATATGTGGTATTTGTGGATCCTCACCAAAGGTAGTAAAGATGTTATGCCCCTTTTCTTTCTCTTCCTACAACTAAAGCTTATGTGAAGTTCATAGGTAGGGAGAAAGCTAGAGCATACTTGCAATG